CATTATCAAGGTGCAACAATTCTGCCACCAATAAATGATATTCATACTCCATTTATTCACTCCATCATTTTACATTTTTGGTCTACATGGTTTGATATAAAGAGAAACTTGAAAAACCCTCATCATTTGTATTGAACATTTTTCGTTAAACTGAAAAAACAGTTTCTTTTCTTCTTTTACCTATTTTGATTTTTGGCAACCTTTAATTTACTCGTCATCATCATCATATCATGTTCAATAGTTTTGAGCAAATATTGATCATTAGATATGTTTTACCCATTGCTTTTCAATATTTACCTTGGAAGGAAGAGAAATTGAAATGATTTTTACCGATAAAATTGTACCCTCATTTGTTGTTCAACACCGAGTAAACATTTACAGTTTAAATCAGCTTCAAGGCGCAAACTTTTCAAACAGATAAATGCTGCAACGAGACAGTCTCAAGCATTGAGGCAACATTTGACTGTCTCGTTAAGTCTAACTCAAAGGGCGACCAACTGAATTGCCAAGTGACTCTAGTCTAGACTTAGTCCAGGCAAGACACGCACCTTACCCCAACCAGACATCTTAGCTCAACCTAGCTCAACATCAATTTTAACAAGTCACTCGCCTCTAGCCATCAGTGTTGCACAAGTCAAGAGTCTCAAGCATTGAGGAAACCTCTGACTGTACCGTCAAGCTCAAGGGCGACCAATCGACTTGTCAAGTGACTAGTCTAGACTTATTCCAGGCAAGACACACACCTTACCCTAACCAGACATCTTAGCTCAACCTAGCTCAACACCAATTTTAACAAGTCGCTCAGCCCCTAACAGTGACTGTTGAACTTGATAAAATTTTATTTCCTTACTTTAAGAAATTGAAATATTTTTTTTCTCCTCATTATACATTGTGACGTATTATGCATTGTGACCAAAATGACAAACAAAATGACCAATTATTTTGATTATTATAGTGAACAAGTGGAACCCCCGATCATGACTGATCGTAACTTTTTCACTGAAATACAATAAATTCAATCCATATTTAAAGATTCAAATTCTTGATGAAAAACCATCGTCAATGAGAAAAAATAAAAAATAAAATAAAATCTGGTTATACAGCTGAACTGAGTGAAATCTTTCTGTACAGTTAAGGTACTATATTTTTCACTTAACTCTTTACTCGAAAGACAGTTTTACTTATCCTTCTAATCCAACAATAAACCATCAACCTGATTAACCAAAAAGTTTTTCCCCCAATGTCAATAGTAAAAGATACGGATTCTGCGTTTTTTCCCCTACCCTGTTTGAATACTAATTTCTCAGTAACCTGAATTCCGAGAAAGTTCGAACTATTTTTTGCGATTGTAGTTTAATCATGGCTTTCATTCTGTGTGAAAATTTTCTTTAGAACCCGTTTAGTTTGCCCACAATCTTCCCGCAAAAATTTCATAGTTTGACTTTATATATTGTATAGATATAGATTATTCGCTCAATAATTGTTAAATAAATGTTTTGCTTGATTAAAATATGTATTTATTTAAATGATTATTTGTCACACAAGAAACTAGAGACTCCATAAAAATGATGAATATAATTTATTACATCATTTCAATTATCATAATTGCTCGTACTATTAATAGCAATAAAATGTTAACATGAGGAAAGGTAATAACATTTCATTGTTGCTATTCCAAATTATTCAGGCAAAAGAGGGGCCAACAGTTGAAAAAGTTAAACTTTATTCGAATCTTGATGAATCTAATTAATAGAATGATAATTTGAAATAAAATTAAATTATTCACATTAAAATGTCCATCATGGATCAATATATTTATCCTGATTAAACTTTATCTTCCAAATGAGTGAAAAAGCCTGAAAAATTTCCTGCCAATTCAGGATAAATTGTTGATTCAAAAAATGATGAACTGAAAACTTTTTTAATCTCAAAGTTGAATTTTTTCAGCCAAAAAGTGCATTTAATCAAGCTTGACCAACCTCAACATGAAACCATTAATTGATAAATGATACATTATTTAGAGCAAATATTTACATGGTCAGTTCTGTAAAGAAAGGGTTTAAAAATTTAATTCAATGAAAAATAATTTTCTTCTCATTGAAAGGTAATCAAGTTAATTGACCAGAAAAGGTTAAACCAGCGAAATAAATAAAGCTTTAATCAAATTCATAAGTAATGACTAACCATGTAGATGAACAGAGTTGTAATCATTATCAAAGTCAACAGATTATAACTGAGTATTTCATCTTAATCCAGTTAGCAAACAGTTGAAACATTAAAGATGGAAAAACTAATTTGCCGAATCTTCAGTTGAAAGGCGATTAAAGGTGCAACACTGAACAATTCTTGATCTATCATTTTACTATTATGTTTATCACCATTATAGCCCTGGGAGGTGAAAATGTTTTTTTTCCTTGGTGCTTCCACTTTTCACTTTTCACAGAACTTTTCTTTTGCCAAATTGTTCATTTCATGTGTTGCTGTTATAATCTATGTTCAATTGTCAAATGGTTCACAAACTGGTTAAATATATAACAATTTGCTCGCAATGAAAAGGGCTCAATAAGCTAGAAATTAGTTGAATTTTATTCTTTTCCAACTTTTTTTACCTTTTCCATTTCACATAACAAGATCTTGTTTCATTCATTTGCCCTGAAGGTGAAAGTGAATCTAAAATTGAAAAGTTTTTCTTCTTTTGCTTCATTTCTCTTTTAAAGCCTTTTTTTAACTCTTCACATGGAGTGAACTCATTTCTGACCAATTGACTTTTGACAGAGAATCTAGTTTTACCTCAATATGGTTTAACTACCTTTATTATTTTCACAGGTAAGGGATAGAAGAAAAATTGAGTTCGATTAAAGGGTAAATTCATTAAATTTGATTAGATTTCTGTCATTTTGTTGATGGAGTTAGTTTGATTGAATGATAACGAGAAGAAAAAAAAACTTTTTTTGATTCAATTCGGTTGCCTCTGACAGTTAACAATTTAAATGTTAAATAAATAATCTTGCCTTTGACCCTGGAAAATGAATTATTTACCATCCAAATTAAGATTCACCTTCTTATCAAATATACTTGAGCTTTCAAGCATTTCAAGATGATTGATAATTTTGCTTCCATTTAAAATGAATAATCAAAATTGAATAAACAATTGTAATGAAATAGGAGCGATTTAAATGTTATTTTATCATTCAAACGCATTTCTATTCAGGTTAACCATCAATTGAGAATCACTTTTCTTCTCGTTGGCAGAATAAGAAAATAAACTTTCAATTGTTATTTGAGTTGCAGGGAGTGAAAAATTCCCAATTTGAATAGTAAATAAACACAAAATAGAAACCAAGAAAAACAAAACAAAATTTTATTCAATTATTGCTATAACTGGAGAAGCAGGATCAGCGAGACTGGAGCTGATTTGTTGAGAGGACACTTCGGGACTCAGTCAAGTTGGACGTATTCCGCCAAAGGTAGCCTGTGAAAGTGAGAGAGTTAAAGTTGATTTCGAAGTGATTTAATGATTGAAAAGGGAAATTTTTATTTACATTGGAGTGTGGGAGCAGAGAGAATGCCGTTGGACCTTTAGACGGTCAGAAAAACACTTGTTATCATGTTTTCCTCTTGAGGTCAAAATCTGAGTTTTGAGAAGGAATGAGAAAGACGTGACAGTGTGTGTGAAAGAAGGTATACAACTTGTCTTTGACATTTCGTCACAATTAAGAATAATCCTTTAATCTGTTGTAAAATCATGCCACTTACTCAAAGCACGATTACATTCAGTTGTTTTCGAGAGTTTTGGCGGTTCTTTTTGAGCAAGCAGATTTATACAGCGAAATGACTGAAGGTGGAGGTCGACCAAGTCAGCACAGACCTTTGAAGACTGTGGATCTGAGCAAAACATAGTCTTAGTCGAATCAGATTACTTGTTTAGCCATCTTATTATCACACTGATAGATTCGCTCGATGAAATCTCGAAATCGATTTTTTGTAGAATACAAATTCAATGCTTGAATGAACCAGGATAAGCATTTTTATCAATCAATCTAGTAAAGTTACAAAATTAATATCTTTGAACCACTGAATAATCTGCATGCTAATTAAATCTTGATTGGTTAATTATAAGGCTGATTTCAACCTTTCCTGCTCCTTGTAATGAATTAAATCTGTTTTTGACACAAATTTTGTCACATCAAAGTACAGTCAAGTTGTGAGGAAAAATTTTTACCCACAAACACATGAAATGCCAAGACAAACTGGCAATCAAGAGAAAAGTAAATTGCAATAAAAATTTAAAAGCTTTCACCTGGATTCTTTTAACCCTGATTCCAAAACATGAACACACATCGATTTATCTAAACACTTTACAATCCATAAAAGTGATCACAGAACTAGCTAATCCTTTTGGAATTAATCTTTACTCTTATTTCTTTCAATCATCATCATCATCATCATCTTACAAGGTAACGAAAATTTGGGAACCTTTTTTTTCTCTATTTCGCTGTTTGATCCCTTAACCTTCACAATCTTTTAAGTCACTTAACCTTAACTTACCTTAACATTATGTTAGCCTGTTATCCAAGGATAAGAAGTTTCCTCTTCTACAGATAATTAGTGAGGTAAATAATAGTTTCTTTTGATGTGAGGAAAGGAATGATATCATGAGAAGATGAACAGTAATATATAATAACACACTCATCGTCATCGTCTTCATCATGATTACAAACCTGTATTTACCAAGAATACATTTGTATGAATGTAAGCCAAACGAATACGAAAATAAGTTCATCTTAATCAGATTAATATTTCCTCTTTTCTTTCTTCTTGTAATTGTATTTTCGTAAAAAAATGATTGAAAAATATTCCTCACTTTTTTGGCTCTTCCCAAAGATGCAAAGGGAATGATTAACGTTTTGATCAAGAAACAAAAATAACAAATAGTAGGTAAATATATAAATTGCAAGTTAAACTTGAATGATTTATCAACTGATTTTGTATGAGTTACATCAAAATATGTCAAAAGTCGAGTTTAGTTTTGTTTTCATTTCTCAATTTTTACTTTTCCAAATGTCACATTGATAAATGTTGAATCATTTTTCAATTGACACTTAGAGAGTAAAATTGAAAACTTTTCTTGCCTCAAAGCTGGTCAAATTAGCTGTGCAAAAGAGCCTGAAATTCAACGTTAAACCTTAGAGTTCAACTGAAACTTATTTCACATTGAAATTTTTCAGTTTCATTGCTTAATCGAAAGGTGATAAAATAAGTGGCCAGAATAGTAGGACTTGTGTTTGAAACGAAAAGGGAAAAGGTTCAGGTGAAATACTGGTGATACAATTTTGTTGATAATGAGAAAAGTCTGGTTGGAAATTGAAGGCAAAAAGTTTCCAAGTACGAGGAGAACGATAAAAGGAGAAAATATAAAACTCTTAAGATGAAATCGCCCGAGGAGGAAAAGAAAGTGTAGATTGAATCATTCTTTTTGTCTCGCTTTTCGATCAAAGAAAATGAGTGAAAGATGATGAAAGTTCAATCGACTGTTCTGATGAAAGGAAAAGTAAATTTCACGAGGAAATCTAAATAGTGGTTGACTTTATTTCTTGCTTAACTACTAGCCATATTGACCTGAATATTATACATTGTTTCCAATCAAGTTGTTAATAGTTGTGATGTCAACCTTAATCGAGCTCTAACCATTTATGGTTCAGTCTAACTGGCTGACGACCTTTATATTAGATATCTCAAGACAACCCAGTCGAATGAAATCCATGGCACTGAGACACGTTTGACGCTCATTTAAAAAAAAGAAAAATACTAGTGCCATCTTGGGAAAAGATGGTGCGTCCATTGAAATATGCGCAATTTTTTTGCTATTTCAGTAAACAATTACCTTTACATGTAACATTGAGCCATGTAACTCGAATAATCTGTCAATATACACATGGTACATGAATTTTTTGCTATTTTGTTTGACTTGATCAAGATCAGAGAATTTTTTAAAATTAAATCATAACTCAAATCACCCGCGTTTTTGAGACCATGACGCATTAACCCATATGTCATGCTATCTAAGCTATAAGCTTTAAGCGGGTAAACCATCAAACTTGTTTTATCATATAAATTTTGATTTTATTATTTCAACTGGCCAATTTTAATCAATTGATTCTGTTTTTTCTAACAACGAAACTTGTAATTCACGATTACTTGAAAAAGTATCATGTAAGTATTATCTTTTTCATGTTCTCTATTTACATGTTCACTTGATTAATTTGAATTTGTCTTTTTTCTCTCCAGAAACATGGAAACATTTATTCATGAAGGTGATTGTGGGCACCAAATACCTGATTCTCTAACTTTCTATTTACATGACTGTTTGGGCTCATTTTGCGAGAATTGCAAATCAAAATCAAACAAGTGTCAATTTTGCGGCAATCTATACACTGAGGACGAGCTCATCAAAAGCCTTGCTAAGGATACATGTGAATATGAATCCAAATGCTCAAGTATTCCGATGTACCATTGTACATGTGCCACCATGAAGTTGTGTGAAGTACATCTTATCCATGTTCATTCAAAAATTATACCATCAAAGAGATGTCTCCCTCAAAAACTCGATTCTATGGCAAATGAAAAACCATGTGGTAAATGCGAGACCTTCATCGCCACTCATGTTAATAAAGAAAACAATGAACCTGTTTGTGAATCATGTATCATCAAACATGAATTGCCTAACGTGGCAGCGCTGGATAAAGCTCATGATAAAGAATCGATTGGAGATTTAAAGCTATACCGAAGCGCAATAGAGAAAAGAGTCTCTCTTCAGGTCCAGAGGTGCGATAGCTTTTATTCTGAAGTTAAAATAGAAGAGAAGAAATGTCATGAAGCCATGGAGCAACTAAAAAGTCTAATAAATTCGTGCAACAAGGAAAACATGGGTAAACACGAATCTTTAAAAGCTGCTGTTTCGTATGCACAAAGATTCATGGGTAAAATGGATGGTATCATGTCGCTCATCAATCATGGTAGAATTTCTGACCAAGAAATTATTCAAAAGCTGAAATCATGGATCAAGCATCTATTACAATCATTTGAGACTCCAGTTGTGTCTAAAGTTGTCATTGAATTTCAAGACTCATCAAATGATCATTCAAAACGAGTTAACATAAAACATGTTGCAAACCTGATGCAAGAAGACATGGCTATGTTTCTTGACCCAATTGACTTATCCACTTCCACACCAAACCTTTCAGATTATGTGTTAAGAAGAGCAGTTAATCTATGTCGAGATCAACTACCACATTCAGTTCCATGTGGCGAATCAAACTGTTACTGTTCGCTATTCAACAAGAGATCCTTGGAAAATCCTGAACCATCTACATCGAAACGTAGCAAGGTGACTACTGTTTCATGTTACAAGCAAGTCAATGACATAGATCCTTTTGCTTCATCTGAGGAAGATGAAGACGAGTTATATGATGATTTTTATCATGCACCTGCAATCGATACAAGTATTTCCATGCCTCATGTTTCGTCGCTAATTCCTTTCGAAGATAAAACGGAAGTCAGGGTGCGATTAACATCAATTAGATGCCCTTTATGGTTTTTTCTTGAAAAACCTGAAATGCTTGAAAAGAGACTTGAAATTTTGAATAGTCTTAATGACTCAAAAGCATTTCACATGCCAATGTTAGTAATCAAGGCACATGTCAGAGCAGTAATCAAGGACAAGATTGGCTTTGGACCGCGATTTAAAAGAGCCTTTATAAAGTCATACAACATGGAGAAACGAACATGGCTCGTAAGACTTTTGGATTATGGTAATGATATCAATGTAGATCCTGATTGTATTTATGAGCTTCCAGCTGAATATCATGATATAGATGAAACATGTTTCAGGGCTTGTTTGATGGGTGTGAAACCACGTTCAAATTTTTGTTTTACCCAACATGTACCAAGAAACGCTACTTCATTCATCAACAAGTATTTACGGTCAAAAAGTGGACGTGTTATGGTCACAAGAGAGTTTCAAACTGTTGATGATGCTACTTTTTGTCGTGTTTCAAGCTACATCAATGACACAAAGGTTGACTGGACTAAAGAACTTTGTGACGCAAATTTAGCTTTACCATTACTAGAAGAACCTTGTTGTTTTTTAGCAAAAGAAAATTATTGTTACATGTTTCATTATTTCAACAAATGTCATGATGAATGTGAGCGAGTTCACACGTGTCCTTTTGATTCACAAAACCACTCACTCAAAAATTGTTCGGCTTATCTTAGTGAGCTTCAGGCTAAAGAAGCCACATGCAACAAGAACAAAAATGATGGTTGCGTATTTCATCAAATTTAATATTTTCATGTAACATTCAATTCAATTTAATATTTTCATTTAAAATTCAATTCAAATAAAGACAAGGTACAATTAGATACATGTCATTTGTAGTTACATTATTGTATTTAAATAGTTTTTGCGTACTTTCAGTCACGAAAAGATACTCCGAAAGCCCACTGATGCCTAAACATCGAGTATATGTTTTGAGTGACGCTGACATATTCATGCTTCTAGACTGGTAGTTCAGCAAATTCATGAAACAAGGTGATTCGAGTATCAATTTATTGACCATGAAGATGCAAGTTTCCTCGATAGAATAAATTTTTTTGATGATGTAACATGATTCATTTTCCATGATCAATGAGTTTTGACTGCTTTTGTTTTCATCATAAGTAGATGTAGTGAATAATTGATCCTTGAACCTAACTTGTTCATGCTCGTATAAGAATGCAACATTCAAATTATTTTCAAATAAAAAGTTCAACAATGTTTCATGTATGTTGTCAACTTGCTTTCGTCTTTTTGATGCCATGTAATTGACTTTGGAATCAGAAAAGAAATATGCTTTTTCTGATTCAGACAGTGAGTCGGAAACGAGAGCTTGTTGCATTTTCATGTTATGATTCAACCTTAGTATGTGTTGGTTAGCAATTGTTTGTGGTAAATCAACAAACTTGCGGCATTTTTTCTTGATTACTCCCATCTCGTTTTCTGAATTGAAAGCAGACATGCTACTTGCTGGCCCAAGAAATACAACAGAATTAATCAAATGTTGTAAAATATGTACGTTGTAGGTCATGAACTCTGGCCCATAAAGCTCAGTCATACATGAACAAAATTGAATGATGTTTTCCTCAGCAACATGTAAATTATTTTTAGCGATATTTTTTTCTTGAACCATTTGAATTGCTTGAGAAAGCAGTGAAAGATGCACGATGTAACGGTGTGGCATCTGATCTTTCAGTATTAATGGAAAAAAATATAACAAAAATGATGCAAACTCGGTAGCCTTCCAGTCTTTAAATTCAACAAGCGATCTTGGCTTTCTGAAGTGTTCTTTCGTAACTTTAATACTCTTGATTCTTGCGTCCATGATTCTTATTTTGTTGTTCTCGCCAAGATAATATGAACATGTTCTCTTGTTTACATTGAACCATGCACGTCTGAAAAGATCTTTAACGACACCCAAGTAAACAGAATGCAGGATATCCACACTAAATCCCTTGACAATATCAAACTCTTGTAAATATATAAAGGAACTATTACCTTTCAATGATAGCAACACTCTTTCGTCCTCAATGTTATTTTGTGCAAACATGATAAATTCGTCTTTAGAGCGTGCTAAATTTTGCATCTCGTCTCCACGCAAAACATGGAATTTCATTGAACCATCGATTCTTGTGCCTTCGATCTTGCACCAGTCACACGCGTACCTGGAGTTGAACTGTTTGACTGCTCGTAAATATGCTCGCATCGGTGCATCGGCAATCACACATATGAGTTTAAACTTTTTTGAATAAACAACATGACTCCTTGAACAGGTCCACTCTAGCTCATGCTCTTCCAATTCTCTAAGTTCGTCAATGATAGGATTGAAAAAAGTTAAAGCCGATTTGGGTTTGTTAGATCCAACATAAATACCAGCCATGATTACATGTTTCATTCGCACAGCTGTTTTCAGTTCATTGATCATCAAAAAAACAGGAAAAACTGAAATTTTGCTGGATCTGGAGGCTGGAACTTCATCCGTGAACATGGTAAGAGTGAGTGATTCCATATCACTTCTGGCATTCACGGCAGCTTCAGCATCTCTTATGTCACTTATATAATCATCATTCATGATATCGGGATCCAAGTAGCATGAAACGAAAGGAAGAATCATCATCAACTGACTTTTTATATCTAACTTCAGAAAAAAGTTTCCATTCCGCAATTTCGGAGTCACACTTGTTCCATTACATTGATATTGAATGAAACTTTTCGGTTGTCCAATGTAAGGGCCATGAGCATGATTATGGTTACACAAAAACCAGTAGGATTTGTTGATGCTTTGAGTTGTATGTTCCCAGTATGAATGAATTGAGGGCAATTTCATGTTAACATTGGTTCTTTTAAAAATGAGATCTAGACATTTTATCACGGAAATCATTTGTGACTTAGATAAATTGTTGGTTGTAACCAATTTTCCAATTAAACAATGAAGAAAAGATTCATAATCCATGTTCACATGATGCATTTCTTGATCACTTTCACTTTGGTCACTGCTATATGTATCAATTGCAAGTACATTTTGGTTTAAATTTGATTCGTCACCTTCGAAATCAGATTCACTTTCAACATTTGCTAAAAAATCAGCGATGAACTGTGCACGATGATGTCTAGCAGCTCGGTAGTAAGTTGATAATGAAACATTATCCATGATTGTTTTAAAATTAAATTTAAAGAAACACTACAACATGAATTGAGATATGAAACATGTGACAAGATTTGAGTTTTCACGCCCCATTTAATTCATCCCCTTTGCTATGAATTAATTTCCTTTTCCTTTTTCACACATTGACCACGCTTCATTTTTATTAGTATACATTCATTTAAACTTAGTTTAATTAATTAATTCTGTGCGTCCAATCAACTTAATTAATCAATCATGTATAAATCTTATAAACAAGTGTCATGCAACAAGTCATCTCAACTGCCACCTGAATCGAAGAAAAAAAATAGTAAAAGTAAAAAGATACCATCGGGTCAACCTTTTCTCATGGATTTTCTCAAGAAAAGCAAACATGAAACCTCGATTGTAGCTTCAACAAGTACAAGTGCCACAGGACTTATCACAAATGCCTTACCGTCAGAAGCTGATGAAGGTTCATTTTTTATTCTCTTATTCTCAGTCAAAAAGAGCCTTACATCAATCAAGCCAATCGTGCTCCATGTTTATGACAAGGAAATTCCGAGGAAAAGTCCTGATGAGATTACTGTTATTGTAAGATTCAGAATCAACAATGAATCATTTGTTGGCAGAATTATCATGATTTCACGTGAGTTTCACATTTCAACTAAATTTTAACTACGATAAAATTACTGATTCTTTTCTCATGTTACAGGGGTTCGTGTTGCACTAGAAGAACATATTCCTAAAGCAATTGATGTGACCAAAAGTAAATGTGATCGGAATCGTGCTCTTGTCTTTGAACCAACAGTTTATTCTTTGACAAAGCACACCATTTTGATAATTGCTGATCCTCATGATCCACGGTCGAAGTTCCTCGGCTCATTATTCAGTAAAGCAACCGAAAACGTTAACCATATAACTGAAAATCAGAATCAATTTGTAAGGAGCCCTGAAAACATGGTTTATGGACAAATTGATAATGATAGCGACGCTACTGAAGAGATTCCTGATGATGAACAAATATTGGACGTTTCAAGTGACACGAATGATTATGAACAAACAAGCTCACGTAAAAAACTGACAAAGAAAAGAAAAATGCATAATTATTCAGAAAAGAAAATGATTTGCAAAATCATGGACAAGAGAAACAGTGATAACATGAAAGCAAACACTGAGATTTCATATGCTTTAGACAAATTAGAGGAGATGATTCCAACTCTATCTCCTTCTTCTGCCATGACTCCTATCATTAGAAATTTATTCATATTGACTAAAAATATCAACTTTAAACTCAATCATAGAAACAATGATCATGAGACTAGATTCCCGCTCTCACGTAATATTACCACAGTGAAAGTAAACGGCAAGGTAATTATATGTGTGTTAATTGAATCATGAGACATCATGAAACATTATTCAAAAATGTTTATTTTCAAACAACAAATTAATTGTATTTTTTTCACGCAATCAAGGACGAGATTAAACTTGGTGGAAAAATTTCTTTGCCAATGACTGGTTATGCAAAGGCAATAGAAGCCCAAAAACCTAGTCTCGTCGTTTCCAGGATCGTTAGATCATGTTTCCCTTCTTCATTGAAATTGAATTGCGAGGTGAATGAAGCGAAAAATGACACGAATCTCCTTTGGAGATTAGGAAATGAAGCTGCAACTGATGAAGCTAGGATGAAAGAAGGACAAGAAATTTTAGACACATTGATCGGTACGGTAAAATCAATCAAATTCTTGTTTCCATGTTATTTGTTTCTTGATACGTTTACTCATTTTATTTCTGTTTGTTTTTTTATTTATTTAGAACACGCTCATGCTATCAAAAGCTTTGATAGTATGTCACTAACAAGTTATCGTGAATGCATGCATCAGGTTGACAAAGCACTGTATGACTTCAATCGCCGACATCAACTAAAAGAATCTGACTTGAACAAAAAGCAGACAGAAGATTCAACATTTGTTAAACCGCGATCCAATCAAACAAAAGAATTCACAACACATGCTTCTCATGATACAATGAATCAAGTTTCACTTTGGAGGCAAAATTGTGAAGAAGCTGATAGTATTCTCTCAGAAATTGCCAAAGATCAAGTTGTTTTCATGTTCAACTGAAGACAATTTCATTTGTCTCATCAATTCATGTTTCATGGTTTTTTTCATTCTACATTTTGATGTTTTTTCATGTTGATGTTTTTTTTCTCATATTTTTATTTTATTTTGTTTAAGTTTCTATTTTTGTATTTTTAGTTAAACATTTTGTTAATTTATGTTCCATTATTCATTAAACATGCAGTTCAAACTTATTTTATATCTCAAATAATTATTATGATCCATGGAGCTTAAAGCAGTATCAAGCGTCATTTGACATTAACGCGCGATAGTGTCGTTTCATGTGCACTTTTATACACTACGCAATTTTTGCGCCAAATGTGACAATTTCTCTTGACGCTCGTTTTGTGGCGTGTGTGTACCATTCGACTGGGAATAAACAGTCTCGACTTGATTAGCACTCACTCGGGATTTGCTAAGCGTGCTAATGATCAAATCGAAGTCTAAAGCCTTCTAAAATCTCGCATTCTCCCATTCACTTTTTCTCGATTGGAACATTGTCTCAGCATTTATATGTTGGCGAGCAAAAAATTCTTAACTTGCTTGGACTTCTAATGTTGCAATTTTAACCAAGGCTATAGCAATTTGTGGTGAAAAGAGATTCTCTAATGCAAAGTAGATTCATGTAAGTTTAACAAGAGCAGTTAATGAATATCAAACTGTATCGTGAATCAAAAATTACGACAAAACAATGAAGAGGAAGAGTTGAGATGAAACATTGCTATTATTATATTTCTGATGTTTGTTTTAAATATTATTGATCCAACAAAATGATCTTTTATTTCGACAAATGATGCAGCTTTTCAAAGGTGCTCTAATATTCAATTCAATATACAAATGGTCAAGATTGCACTTGAAGTTTGTCCAAATAAACATTGAATTTTGTTATTTGTTTGATTTGACGCTCAATTTTGCTTCCCTAGATTTTTCCTTCTATAAGTGTTGGTTTATAAATAATTGTAGAGTAAATTGTTGTCTTAATCAAGAAGATATTATTAGCCATAACATATTACCAATTCAATTTAGGCTGGCTCAATTGGCTGAAGAGTTGAGCAAAAATTTTCATTTCATTGACCAATTCATTTTCACTTTCCTTGCCACCTTTCCAACTCCAAGTTGGTTAAATAATTTAATCAACAACAAATCAAAATGAGCTTTACTCGTAAAAATATTGCAATGATGGTAAAAAAGGAGTGGAAGTTATTATTACATTATAACAGAAAAGTTATCAAATTGACAAAATGTCAAGTGCATGTAATTGGGAAAGTTGGTAAGGAGAAAAGTGATTCAATCATTTTGACCATCTTTCAACGGGAAAAGCTTGTTCAATAAAGTACACGAGAATTCATTCAAAAGGCAAAAACAGGGAAAAATAAATAACGTTATTTTCATCAAAATTGGTTAGTTCAAGAGTAAGTGCGATATTACTCATAAACTGGCAACAAGTTGAAACAAAATCACGAACTGATCTAATCAAGTTGAACCTGAGACACCTGTACATCTAGGTTTACTTAAAAGATCAAGTTGGGCTTCAATTTTTACTTTTAAACTTTCATCCAATTCAATTAACACATCATAAAAAGTATGAAATGATCTTGTTTAGCTTGACCTGAGAACCTAGGGTCTAGGTTAATGTAGGAGTACAATGTTCTGGTAAGCTTTTCAGATAATTTAATCATCACTCCTAGAATAGATTTGATGTAGCGCATGACCTGGTCTAAGTTGATTTGACCCAAGACGCCCTCATGTCATGTTTAAAAGTTGGAGTTAACTTTGACTTACGTGAGCTCCAAGTGAGACAAAGTGAGCTCAACCTAGGAAAGTTTCCCATCTGCACAGTCAATCCAAGTCTTGTGGCTCATACAAACTAGAAAGAGTGTAAAACCAGAAAACACAGATTTGTTTTCCTCTGCGTTTTATGCGTTTAACGCAATTATTTTCATCCAAGCAGAAGTATCAATGCCTGATTCCACTATATTTGTCATAAATTTTGTTTAATTTTGAAACTAATTGTTAGCTCAGTGGTTAAAGAGTTGGCAAAGTTAGAAAGGATTGATCAAAGATCCAGACTGACTTCTGTGGCTAAGATGCCTGGCTTTCAACTGGGTGACTGGCGGAGGTCGACTGGCTAGGTTGATAATAACACTTGGTTAGACTCGAGTTGAGCAACTTGAATCAAAGACCAACTTAAAATTTAAAATAGTTTCATCTTCATTTGTTGAGGTTAACTAATTCAATTACTTTGACTTCATACAGACTAAAGTTTTACTCTCATGTCAACAATTTGATTAATTTGATTAAATTAGAAAGTTTGGTTTTGTCTAATTTTTTCACTCATTTCCCATTATCAACTTGAAAAGTTAAATTATTCATGATTTTGGGTAAATCAATTAATAAAAGAACAACTTTGATTTTGAAAAATCCATGAGAATAGAAGAGACGAAAAAAAAGAGTAAAATTTGTCAAATAAACTAACCTCAATTTTTGAACAATATGTAAATGATTCCTAATCAACTTCAATCTTGATTATCTTGTTGCAAGTTTAGAAAAGGATAAACAAAGAGTTGAACTTTCAACATGAATTTTGATACTATTGATCATTTGTTGATTCAATTATTCACCATTCCAAATGAACAATATTTACTTGCAATTAGCAATTGTCATCTTTATGATTCAACTAAAGCCAAGGCACAAAAAGACTCCCAATGAGACTTGGAATGAATTCAAAGCAAAAAAAGTGAAAAGACTTTTTCAATTTTCCATTCTTCTCTTTACTCGCAAAATTATTGGTAATGATGATGATAATTATAAACTGACTAAGCAATTCGCAGTTGGCAACAGCTTGAGTTTCAATTTTTCATTTCACTCTTTTTTTGCTTCTTTTTTCTCATCCACAATTATCATTTATGAATATGAATATTTGCCTTTTTGGTTGTGCATTTTTTTGCACCCAAAAACTGGATGATGATTTTTGCAACTTTTTGTGCAAAAAAACTTTTCTCACTACAAACCCGAGTTGAACATGAAGATAAACAGATACAGATGATTGTGACAGAATGCTAAACTGTAAAATCACTTTGCTCAGCAAATGCGCCATTTCCTAGTTGAACTTTTTTTCTCTCTCTTCACCTTCCATTCAGATTTTTATGCTCATCAACTTTTGTGGCAAACCTTTTCTTTCTCTGGGTTAACTTGTTCTAATTAACCAGATTAACCATTTTACAAAACTAAGCATTTCATTTGTTTCATTTTCCATTTGATATTCTGTTGACTGGGAGGCAATATTTTTTTCTCATGAGTTTCAATGTTTTCTTGCGAATGGGGAAAAAAAGTTTGCTGAGTAATAATTTTTGATTGATAACAAAATATTGTTTAGCTTGACTGGCAAGGAGTAAGCTGATTGGGGAAACTTAAAGACTGTAAAAGGGAGGGAAACTCGAAGGATAACTGTTGTCGAAATGGCGCATTTAATTAACTGTGAATGAATGGGTCTTCAAATAATATGTGAATACATTTGAAACTGAATCTAGATTTGTGTGTGTAATAAGTCAACAGTGAAAATGGTTATCCAGGAAATTAAATGTATCGAAGGAAATGAGGGTTCAATTGGAGTGTTGAATTGATAAAAATGGGGATTTATAGCGGATGGATAAGTTGGAGTTAAATCGCAAGTGAAAATGTTCATCAATGAAAATGATGATAATGATGAGAGAAAGTGAAAAAAGGAAAGGTTTGATAATGAGGTGAAATTGGGATGATAAAGGGAGGATACTTTGGGAGGTAAAAAAACAAAGGTTCACTGGGAGTAAATCCGTTGCAAGGTGAATGGGTAAAGTAGAGGTTTGGTTTGTGCTGAGGTTGAGCTCAGTTTGGTTGCAAGGTGAGGTAAACTTGATGCTACTCAGTCAAGGCCTGCAAGTTGGTAAAGTATATTAGAGGTTCAGTAGAGCGAAACTTGACTCGTAGGGAATTGACTGTACAAAGTCAATGGCTCTTGTTAATGAAATTTAATGCAACATGAAATCCTTTTTTCAGTTGTTGGCTCCTTCTCATTGTACCAAAAGTTTATTGTCAATATTTTTGTTGGCCTTTCTTTTGGCCAGAATCGTGAAGAAATATTCAATCCTTGTTTGCTCATTTTTTCCAGTTTCATTCAGAGTTAACTATGTGAATCAAGATTGTGTCATTTAATATGCATAAATTGAAAAACCAGTTATTGACCATTTATTATGATAATCATTTCTCTACTTTTGTCATTCTCTCGTTGACATGAGTTTATCAAATGGAAACATTTTTTTATTGCTTTGCGCTTTTCAGATCAATACTGTTTATCAGGTTGACATCAATTTTCCAATCATTATCATTGCCATTAATCAACAAAAATTGCCTTTACTTTCATGTTTACCCAACAATAAACGCTAAACAAACAATAACATTTGTTTTTTTGGTTGCTTTTTCCTTTTCCATTTATGAATATTTCAGTGTTGCTTGATGAGCAAATTGAATCTCTGACCATTTCAAGCATCAAAAGTTGTTCAATCTTGTTACCACAATTTACTCTAATCGAGATCAACTTCTGATTGGAAAATCAACTTTTCCAACTTTAATGTTCCAATGTTAATCACACTTATTTTCCTCGAATTTATAAACCAATTGATTCACTCGATTTGTTTCAACTCTGATTTCTGAAGGAAAATCTGTTGTCCAATTGGTTCAGATAAGTGTAACTATAAAATGATTAACTGAACAAATGTTAACATCTCAATTGGGTCCAATTAAAGGAGAAATAAATTTTAAAGTAAATAGCAAAAGCAAAAAAAAGGAAATCTTTTTTGTCTCATTTTCTCATTTTCTGTTCAATTCTGTAAAATTGTGTGTTCAATTTCCAGGTAAAAAGTCAATGATGATGATGATAAGAAAGGTAAAAAACTCGACTGAATACACATTTAAATAGAGGAAGGAAAAGCGAGTGATGGAAAAAACTGGGGAAAAAAACTAAAAGTAATAAGAATAAAAGTGAATAAAGAAAATGTGAAATAATGATATTTAATATTGCAAAGTTTCATAAATTCATGTATTCAATGATGAACCTGAAATAAGTGTAAAAATAGCATCAACTGTGTATTCACCTAAAATGTACACCTTAGTGTTCAACCTTTTATCTCAATTCAGGTAACAACTTTTCTCTTTCCTTTTATTCATTTGTAAAATGAACTCGATTGTCAGAACTGAACTTTACTTGTTTTGCTTGAAATTTTTTTATTCATTTACTTCTTTGGACTCTACAAGGGAAGGTTAAAGATACTTTTAATATTCACTAGAAACACAAGCAAATGAACTTTTTTTCATTGAAATTGTTTCCATCAAGACTTGAATGCTAAGAAAAAAAGTTGAATTTGAACTTTCTTTTTTTAACTATTCATATTCAAAGTATTTGGTGAAAACTTTCGCAATTATAACCTGACAAATGAATTTAATTTGCATTTCGTTATCAATTAGTTGGCAATAGATGAGTACAAATTAAGATGAGAAAAGAATTGTTTGTCGAAACACTGAGTTTTTCTTTTCAGATCAAGGTTTACAAGTTGATAAGACAATAAGAGTGTTTGAAAAGAATGTCGAGTTTTTCTCATTTTTGCATTTCTATTTGCATTTTATTCTTAAATTTTAATTTCTATTTTTGTCTTTCCAGATTCACCCATTTGCAAACCTGGACAACGTTTTGTCTACGCAACTGCTCGCAATGAAATGATTACGGTAACCTGTGACATGGATGCCGATCCAAGTGACCTTTCATTCAAATGGCGCCTCAATACAACTTCAATTTCAACGATCATTGAAGGATTTTATTCCAATGGTTCAACCAGTACAGTTCCTTACATGGCCAAAAACCGATACAGTTATGGTCTGCTTCTTTGTTATGCGGAAAATGAGATTGGACCTGTTAAAGAACCTTGTATTTTTCAACTCATTCCAGCAGGTAAAGTTTACCTTTTGCTTGTGCCTGTTCATTCGAATCAAATTTTCGATTCAGCATTTCTCCACCATTTCATCGAAGTTTCAAGTGAAAGAATGCAAAAAGCAATTTGACGAGTAAAAGTTTAGCAATTGATTTTTATTTAACACTCGAGCTTTCATCAGTTAATGCGAAATCACAATAAAATGAATGACCGAGCAACAACTTTTTCAGAACTGTTTAGATGCTCTTAGTACATGCTACTAGCCTTCTTATTTGATCACGCAAAATTCAAACTGAATTCGTACAACTGCAGGCGAAAATTGAATAGTCTGAATTTTGTGATTCTCATGACTGATGACTTGGAATAAAATCGACTAGAAAAGTAATTTCATTTTACTTGAGAAGTTCTGAAAATTTAAACTATTAGATTTGTATTCTTATCGAAATTACAGAAAGTTGTTGACGATAACATTTCATTTGTTCATTTAAAGTTTTGACAATGACTTTTTCAATCAAGATAATCGTTCATTTTCCAGAACAAATCCAACCTTTTCATTGGTCCAGAATTTTAATTCTTCTCACTTGGTTTTCATATTTTCAGCGGAATGATTGCTTCTCATATTTGCTCTTTTCACTTGAACCAAGACTTTTGTTTGAAGACTTGAAATGCTTGTTTAACGAGTAAAATTGGATTCGTTTATTTCACCTTTTCTGTTTGTCTCGAGTTTTAATCAATACCTTTGAGATATTACAATATTTATTAGTTGAACACAACATTTTCACTGTATAATGATGCTAGAAAATGTTGGATGAATTGTAAAGATAATGATAGTGACATAATGACTTATCATGTTGAACCAAAATTATCATGTATTGCACTTCAATATTTATATCATTTAGCTAGGAAATTAATTATAAACTTTAATCGTGATTTACATAAGTCAATGTTGATTTAATTGATTTTGAGGGCAAATAATTGCTTTCACTGTTTATATTTCCATTTATGATCAGCTTTTTGTTTGTCCCTTTACACACGTGCCTTTACACCCAACCCAATACATGTAAAGGGCCAGTGAAAAGGGTCACCATTCGAACACAAGTTGCTCACCAATCAGGTTAAACTCGAGTTCCATCAAGCCAAACAAAATCATGTTTAAAGTTACCTGACTTGAAGTATAATGAGAATAAAAAATAAAATTCATAATTATTTACTGTTTAAGTGGTTTTTCATCTGTATCTTTTATTAATGTTGATTGTCCGAGAGGCAGAAAACCTGAGGCATTCAAGCGTCCACTCCATGCAAACAATTCAACCATAAATTGCTGCGAAAAGAAAAATTTGAGACGGTAAATGAAAACATGATGAAAATTTTCTTTTCCAGAAATCATTTGTTTTGCAATTATGCATTACAATGAAAAGGAGTAAACTCAAGTATTTAAATAGATTGGGCAAGATTTTCAGCCATCGTTTCGCAGATTGAAGAACCATAGGTTTGAAACCTTGCGGTCATTCAAGATCACTCCGTTATTTGACCTCTAACTGACATTTGAAGGTCAGTTTTAAGAGTGTAAAATTTTTCAGATCTGTGATGTTTTTACAAGTTACACCGATAGAAAGATAACCGAATTTTTTTTAAACCAATTGATTAGTTGAAGGCTATGGTCACACTTATATCTTATGGTCAGCATGAGTTATTAACATTTAAAGACATTAAACTCTGAAAATTTTGCAATCTCAGGAAATGGCCTCCAAATGTCAGTTTTTAAGCTATCAAGAAGTTATCAAAACTAATACGAGCTGTAAATCCATTTCTATCAGTTTGATCCAATATTTTCTTACGCTACACATTCAAATATTAACATGTTCAAAATACTCATAAATGATACTCGCTAGCATCTCCTGAATTTATAGTTGCACAGGTTTCTGAAGCTACCCGGGTTACTATTATGACCAGGAAAGAGCCTAAATTTAGCCAACTTACACAATCAAGAGCTTGATAACGTTTTGGCACTGATTTAGCTCAAATCTTACCAATTTTTTATTGAATTTTTACCAATAATTTATTAGATTAAAAACTTGAAAAAAAGGTTATGGGATTCGAACCCAAACGCTCCGAAGCATCAGACCATCCCTTTAACCACTAAGCTAAGCTTTCTTATGTTGAAAAATCAATTAAAACTAAATGCCGATAAAAAAATGGTCATTTAGCTAAAATCTTGTCAAGAAAATTTACCAAGAATTTTGGTGAACTAACAGCTAGATGCGAGTAAGAAATCAGCGCAACAAGAAATGAACGAGAATTTGAAAAAAAATTAGCTATTCTCCCGCTCATTACCAAGTTTTTGGTAATATTTAGTTAAAAGAGTAACCCGGGTAATCACTCATCATCTGAACCTTTGTTAAACAACTTGTTAATCTTGCTCATTGGCTCTAAAAGGGATTTCAGTAGATGATTAAGCTGGTTCATTAAGTTGATCATTATAACAAATGTCAGAGAAGGAAAAAATATAACCTTTTACTTTCTAATTAAACTGATTATCGGATTTTTCCGTTGTTATTCAATTAAAATCATTAGAAATTCATTAAAATTTAGAAAAGATAAGAAAATTATGTAAACGATCAACTGAAATCTATTGATTGAAGTGTTTCATAATGGAGAGGAATAAACACAAAACTTTCTTGGTGTCAAGATTGGCAATCATGAATAATATAGAAACAGTTTGGATAATGATATTTATCAATTTTTATCAAATTACATGAGATGGAATTGATTTTCTTTTCACATTTTCTCTTCTCTCACACATTTTATCCTTTTTCTTGTTTTTACCTCTTCATTTTATCCAACAGACTCATTGACATGATTAATTAATGAGTTAATTGAATGACGATAATGATGATGAGAATGTATAAAAACTAAAGTGAGATGAAAATGTTATAACAGAAGATGAAGATGCAAAGAAGAATAATGAATTAGGTTTGAATGAGTTTGACATTCCAAGGTATTTATCATGTCGACCTAATTTCAATATCATGATTGCATAATTGATGAGTAAAACTGTTATAATGCAAGTTGACGAAAAATTTATCAATTGCATTGATGATCATGTTTTAATCTTGTAAGTTTATCTCTAGTTGCAACAAAATTTCACTTTAATCTGCGAAAAAATGCGATCTTTTTTGTTGAAAAACACGAAAGCATTTGAAACAAAATTCAATTTCTCGATTCATTTGAATGCTGCTGTTGCTGGAAATAATGTAAATATTATCGCAAGCTGTGGTTGCAAGTATTATTGACACTTGAACATTTTATTTATAAAATGAATTCCAAAAATGTCATCCAAATCAATTTGATGAGAGACATTTTCCGACTGTCAGCTGAAACTCTCATTGAATATCGTTGGTACTTTGTTTCAAGTGAACAATAACAATGATAACTGGGAAGGAAAAGATAACTCGTCATGTTTGTGTATTCATCAATTAATTGATAAATGTTATTCATATGCATATGTGTCAAAATGCTGAATGGAATAATTATATTTGTCTTTTGCTTTTCTTTCTTTCATTTAAGGCGAATAATTTTCCTAGATTCAATCTTGTCCATATGTTGACTCATGTTTTTTTTCTTGTTATTTCATCAGGTCCACCGGATAAAGTATCTAATTGCATCAGTAATCATTCAATGTCAACTCTGTTTATTGAATGTTTGCCAGGTGATAATAATGGTTTAACCCAAAGTTTCCATGCTGAAGTGTTTAGTGGATTCTCTTCAAACCTTGAGCGAAACTTGACCAATCCCAAAAAGCCAGCCTTTCTTATAAGCGACCTTATACCAGGATCGACTTATATTTTTCACATTTATGCTTCCAATGCCAAAGGTCGATCTCACTCGTATCGGTTAGTGGCAACTACTCTGGGTGAACCGGAGAAACAAATGAGTCAAGGTAAGAGTCGAGCCAGTCAAGGCAATTGTCAAACCCAAATAGTCGAGTCTTGTTAGCATCAAAATACTCAACACAGTCCGACCCTTGATCGAGACTAAAGTTGATCCGGTAAAGGTGATGCTTAACCGTTTGAGTTGCCTCACTCAACTGCTTCTACTTGACGTTGATTTGAACTTGGATCAACAAGTTCACCATCATCCAACTTTTTAACAGTTTTTGGACAGATTTTCTTCTTCTTTGCCTGCAATTTTTACACATTAATTAATAATAATCAAGAGATTAATTGGTCTCAATTAAATGTTGATGCCAGCTGAAAATGATATATTTATGTTGCCAATCAAAGTCAACTTTTCTGTATGAAAGACATGAGGAAAGCAAGAAGGTTTCCTTCAATCAAAATGAATTTGCTCAGAGAATTGGGAATCTTTGATAATCAATGGTAATAAATGTCTTGGTGTTTTAATTTTTTTGATTCCTCCATCAAGATAGAGCATATATAATTCATTATATTTGACTGTTTGTTGCAATGGCAAGCAGAAGGAGAAAAAAAGTCAGAGACACAATTGAAAACAATTTGTTTAATTTGATTGCAATTGAAGAGGATAAATGATTTACAGACTAAATCCTTTTTCAACTCTAAACAAGTCTATTGCCAAAATCAAGGGGTTACACATTCAATAAATCAATTGGGTTAAAGTCAATATAATCTGGTTCACTGTCAAGGTAAGCACTGGAAATACACAAAAGCAAATCAGAATTCGGTATTTCTTGTTTCAATTTTTTGTGTTGCTCTCAATAATCATGAAAAACCATCATGTTTCTCAGAATCTTTTTATGTTGAAAATGACGAGAGAGAGAGAGAGAGAGAGAGAGAGAGAGAGAGAGATGATGATGATAAATGAAAGAGTAAAAAAACCAAGAGTCAACACAATAGCAACAGGAATCGAGAAAAGAAAAATAAAGAACCTTCGGTTTAAGTAAACAGAAAAGGTTTTTTTCCTTCTCTTCGTTCTTCTGTTTAACCAAAATAATAAGAAAAGTTGAAAGAGAGCGAAAAAATCATCATCAGCATGAAAGAATTGAGAAATGTTGAGCCCTTCTTTCAGAATAAGATGATGATTGTAATGATGATCAACAAAAACAGAGGAAACAATGAAATGTAAAGGACAAAAAATAACAAACAAACAAATCTTGACTTGAAGAAAGTTATGGATAAAAGGAAACATGAATTTTATTCTTGGCCGTTTACTTTGGACAATAAAATAACCCAGAAGATCATAAGAGTTAACAATCCATGAGCATGTAAGCAGAGATAAATATCGAGTGAAAAGTTCAAGTTTCATTCAAAAATAGCATTCAAAGCAAGGAATAAGTAAAGACTAAAAGCGTAAAATTGAAATCTCACAGTTTCCAGCTTTAACTAGACACACTGTTGGTAATAGCGAAGTCTGAGCGGGCATTCGACTAAAGATCTTGCAGTTTTCATTCATTCTTTTCATTCAGTATAAAATTGATCATGGTCACATCACCAGAATGTTTATTCAGAAAATTCACTTTAGAGCAGGTTGGATTATTGACTGAATAAATCAGTAAACTTTGAGCCACACCAGAGAGCATAAAATTGACTCAAGCATCTTAGTTGAAACATTGTGTTTCGAACTTTTACCGAAATTTCTTTCCAAAATGTAACTTTCATATGAGCCATGAGAATGAAAGCTTGTAAGAACTGAAAGTTTTGGAATTGCGAGAAAGAACTTTTCCATTGAAGTTTGAAAAAGAAATTTTGACAAAATGATAACAAAAGTTGATCGTTAATTGAATGTTGGTGAAGTAAAATGTTTGAACTATCAATGGAAAGTTATTGAGTTTCATTAGCATTATTTTGACAGGAATCTGTTTAATAGCATTCAGTTAAAGTTGAAATTGATTTAGAAAAGGTAAAAATAGCTTGAAATCAGTTTAAAATCAATAGAACAACGAAAATGTATTAAAATTAGCTTTTACCCAATATTGTCACATCCAGATTATCATGTCAACATTTAATGATACAAAGTATCCAAAGGCAATAAGTTTAAACTCGACTTTGGCGTATTTTCATCAACTTTACCTTTCCATTGAAGCAATGAAAATTTGACATTTTTCTCATTCTCTTTCACTCCACAGAAAGCATTGACCAAGTAACCTTTGGTCCAATTTTTGTATCATTAATCGGATTTGTAGCAATACTGGTCATCATATCAATCACAATAATATTATTTTTACGGAAACGTTCACATCGACGATTTAGTTCAATCAATGGGCAAGGTAAGAAAATACAGTGAAAAGAGGAACAGAAAATTTTTCATTTTTGACCATTTTTTCAAATCTTTTCATATTTTCATATTTTGTGTTCAAAACATCAACTAATAAATTGCCTTTTCAATAATGTTTCTTCATTTGCACATCAATTCTACTCGATTGTTGCTCTTTTGGATGTTCCCTGACAGTTGAAGTCAATGTAAACTCGGATCATTCCAAGTAAGTATCAACAAATGAAATGACAAAATCCATCATTTGACTCAGTTGGAGTCGATCCATCATTATTAACCAGTTTTCATGAAATGGTTAAATTAAATTTCGATTCCAAATGAAAAGAAATCTTTTTCAAAATTTTCTTTCTCTTCGAGAAAAATGTTGACCAAAGCTCGACACGTTTTGCCACCATTGATGAACCTTTATCACTCTATTCCAATCAGATTCAACAACATTTCTCCCGGAAACAAACCTTTGAATGGATCAGAGACTCGAAAGTTGAACAACGTTTCAAGTGCCTTGGACATTGAGTGTAAGTTTACAGAATGTAAAATGCAATAAATTGTCATTTAAAAAGTGAAAAATTGACATTCCAATTGAGGTCAAATAGTGTCGTTTGTTGCATGAAAAAATGGTTGTCATTTCGAAGAGAAAAAAAGTGTTTTCTCAAAAATAAGGTAAGATTAATTGTACCTGTGCATGTTCAACATTTACATAAAGTATTAATAAAGGTTGATCATCTGGAAATGTTAACAATTTTACCAGCAAATGATTTATGTCAATCGCAATCTTACGATCCTTTGTTTTACCTCTTTTAGTTTCAATCATTCAGACTGAACAATTGTTGTTGTTTGCCTGTTAACAAATGAAAAATGTTTATCCTGACAGATTAGCTGAGTTTATATATATTTTACTCCTTTTTATCTTGTACACTTTCCAGGTCCTGAAAGCAACTCATTTTTTAAACATTTTTCATGGGTTAGACAAGACAGGGTAAAATGGTGAATCGAGAAGAAACTTTAGATAACATTTCAGGCCTTTTCTTTTTTTCGACTTTTCTTCTTTTCTCTCTTTCTCAACCATCTTTTTTCTTGCTCTTCTTTCCCCAGATTTACCATGTTTCTGCAATCTTCTGATATATACTTTTACCGTTCATCATTTTATATTTGAATCTCTGAGTAGCTTTTTTTTACTTCTCTTCATTTTTCCATTTATGTATCATTGATGTTACTTGAGCTTATTATCCCAAAGACAAGATTAATAGCAATTCAATTTGAAAATCATCTTTGCTTTGTGATCAAGAAAAATGATTGTAACTATTCAATTATTATCGCTGTAATAATCATCGGTGAAGAGTATTTTTGGGTAAAAGATGATTGAACAGACTTTAAACTTTGATTTGTAAGGACGAACATGAGAAACTGTCAAGTTTCATTCATTCATTTTGTTTACAATGTTTATCAAGTTCTTCAAGAGATTTAGTTGGGGAGTGAAACAGGGAGTTATTTTTGGAGTTGTGATTATCAACTGAACAATTAGGCGCATTTCAAGCGTTTTAGATCAGTTAAAGAACATTTTTAGCTAAAGAGATTTTCAAAGTTTTGGAAATTGATTTAAATCAGTAAATTGTCGAGAGAAATATTAAATTAGTAGATTAAGTCAAAATAATCGCAAATGTTGACCAATTCTCTTCTTTCACCAATTCACAATTTCACGACTTCTCCAAGTCGTCAGACTGTATGTAAAACTGTTCAAATATATTGTTCAAAACCAGCATTAGTTCGCTAAATTTTAGATATTTTTTAATCGTTTCAATACTCAAAATACTGAGGCTAATATTAAATAATTGTTAAGCTGTTTTTGGAAAAAAAGTTTGAAGTATTTTCTTTTATTTTTCACAAAACAAAATTTTGTTTCATTGTGCTTAATTGCTCTTCGTCGAAATAATTCTCGATTTGAGAAGATTTTTTCGAATTGATTAAGAAGTTAATATCTGACGACGTTTAATAGTTTATCGGTCGATAAAATGTTTTTATCTGAAAAATTGGAAAATCCTTTGAAGTTCTTGTCGAAGGAAAAATTTGTTTTGTAGAGTAAAGGCTTCTGTGCAAATATCTTGCTTTATAAAAGTCTCAATTTTTATTCTTGTAGTTTCAAGTTTTGTTATTTTTTTGAAACCTTATTTGACCCTGTCTAAATCATGCCAATAAAATGCAAATAAATGAAATATTTATTTAATAATGCCAATCAGATTGAATAAATAATGAATGATTCAATTTTTGTGAATTATTTCAATCATTGGATTTGTTTTTTCCATCCAAATCCGTCTGTAAACCCGTTCTTTTTACTTGCTTTTTTCACTTTTTTCTTACAACAATAATACAATAAAACGAGAGACAATTTAAATTTCCATCGATATTATAAATTCATTGGAATAACTTTTTCTCTTTTTCCTTTTCTCCCATGCAAATTGTAATCTTGAATGCAAACCAATTTGCATTTGAATTTTCGTTTTTTCTTCTTTTTTCGTAACTTTCAACGAAAAAAAAAACTTCTGTAGATTATACATGCACAAGGCTTGCTTCTGGAGACAAGAAAAATCAGGCAAATATCCAGTTCCATTGAGATTTACCAATGAAGAAATAATCTGAAAATGAAAAGAGCCGAAATGAACACTTGAAATTGAAGAGTTTTTTTTCGGTAAAGTCAATGTTCATTGATACAGGTAAAGATTTTTGGTCAAAATGTAAAAGTGCATTTGAAATTGAATTTCATGGACAGAAAAAAGAATAAGCTGAAAAGAATTTTCCTTTCATTTCAAGCTTTTTTAGTAACATTTGTGAATCTTTTCCATGAACTATTCAATTTAACATCAATCACATTTAGCATGAAACATTGACAGAAGGTGAACATTAAAATTTAGGTTCAACTGATAATCACATTTGGAGTTTTTTGCTTCTTCTTTCATTACAATTCATTGAAGGATTTGCTTTTTTTCATTCAATTGTTTCAAGTTGACCATTATTCAGTCAACAATCATGAAACTAATATGTTACGAGTAAACATTGAATATGAATTAGAGTGAAGAGATGATTAACTTTACATGTAAACAACAAATGGACAGCATTAATAATGTGTGTGTTCGTATATTGTTATCATTATTGTGAATGTTAATAACAATTGTTACAATTGAGTTGCAACCCGAAAAAAGGTAAACATTATTACTAATTCAATTGAAAAGATGATGATAATTACAAAGCATTATCATAAAAGAGGTAAAACATGTTTACCTTTTCAACTTTTCCGTTTGTAATATTTTTTCTTATAACTTAATAGCAAGCAAATTATGATTAATATTGCATTCATATAATCTAATATCATTCCTAATTCAGGGTAAACTTACATAATATTACAATAAAAACAACAACATTAACAGCAACATTTATCTTGTTTTATTTGTTAACATTTAGAAATATTTTTATCCAAAATTTACTGTTCCATAACTTCTTGATTGCATTTGGTAAAAGTAGAACCAGGAAAATTAAAGTGGATTTAATCATTATTTTGTCGGTTGATTAGGTGAGGTTCAGTTTAATCTCAACCCAAAACTCTGTTACAATGTTTTAGTTTTGTTTCACATTTGGAACCATCTTCACTTTTAAGTTGAGACTCGACAGCTTTTGGGTTTCCTTTTTGTTTTATGATTTTGACTTGGGAAAAGATCAAAAGTTGATCTTTCCGTTGATGCTTTTTGATTGAAACCAGGATACATGGTGAATCTGTGTGTGAAGATGTAAAGGTTTTGTCAATATTGGAAGTCAATTTTGGGTTATGTTGGAAAATATTATTATAATATTTTGCTCTCTTTGATACATTTTCATCTCTTTTGACTCTACAGGTTCAGTGTTTGAACTGAAAGGGGAAACTCAAAAACGTACTTTAAACTCACCTGATGCTCGATACATTTACCAACCCAATGGTCCACAATATCAGGTAATCATTGAGTAACTTTTCGATATTTTCATTTCAATCTAAATCTATTTGTTTTTTTTGTCCACAGATAAACTGTAATATGCCTAAGGATCAAATGCTTCCCTTGTTACCTGGAGATGTTACTGAGGCAACATCAGTATAAAACAAAAATATTCATATTTTTATTTAAAAGAAGCAAAATTTACTTGAAACACTTTTCTCCAAACAAAAAAGGTTTTCTCTTTTTTTGGGTTATTTTACGAAAGAGGCAAACATTTGAAACTGTTGTTCACAGGTAAACATGATCAACTCCAAGGAATGATGAAATAATATGAAAATGATTTTTCATTCGATAACCATGAATAACAATAACAAGAAAACATGGTGAAATTGCTAAACAAAAGTGAAAAAAGGTTGATTGCGAGGAGAAAACTTGAAAAGCCTGAGGGAATTCAGGGAAGAAGAAAAAAAACAGTTTTGGATCAAGAAAAAGATGAATGATTATGATTAGCTGTTTACAGAAATAATAATCAATTCAACTCGACTCTTCATCTTTCAACAATCAACAGTAATTGGAAATTTTCAACCCAAATAACAAAAAATCCTAGTCAGACCAAATTGTCGAGTCTAAAGTGTTCACTTTTTGTTAATATTGGTAACTTGATAAATGTCCAGTTATGAATCCTTTTTATGGTCAAAATTTTGTTGAATATTCCTTTGGCTAAATTGCTGTTCATCCATTGAAATCAAGTTCATGTCATTTGCCTTGTTCAACTGTTTGTCCTTTTGTTTGGTCAACATTTCCATTGTTGCTCTCTTTTAATGGTCACAATTTGGAATCCATTTCTTGGCCTCTTCTTCCTTCGGCACCAGTTAATTGCTATCTGTGATAATAAATAAATAAATTACAATTATAATTATGTATTTACGTTTAAACAAAAGGTTTTACTTTATTAAACTTCAATACAAATGAACAAACCTTTATGTTATTGTCATTAGTATTAATACGTTTTGTTTTATCCTTTGTTTTAAATCATCTTTTCTTGTTTTTTGTCAATTTTATACACCATTATAAATCTGTAGTTCATTCATTGTAATTTGCTAATCAGTGTTTAATACATTGGTATAAATATAAATATATATATTTGGTTATTTATAAAACAATTGATTGTTATGGACTAAACTGTATTAAACTAAATGGTTTCAGTTTTTATCTTGCGTTTGTCAGCTGATTTCTTGGGCGCCATCTGCGGTAATTTCAATCAATCACTTTAATAGTTGATATTATTTTCAGCATCTATTAACTAATTGGAACATATCTTTAATTGAACCTAATTGTGCCTTTAAGCTGGTAGCCAACAGAGTAATTTCATTATTGTATGAAATGTAATATTTACATTAAACGAGTCAATCATTTGCTTTCTCTCAATCCATTCATTTGATGTTAGGCCTTTTCTCAATGAATCGTCCAAAAATTGTCTTTGATTGCTTTAAATTGTCCAACATTATTCCGCTGTTAATGTTGCTCATTAATGGCAATTCATCCTAGTTTTATCAACTTTTGTCATTATATTTATACAATAATTCCCTAATGACAATTGGTAAAGTTTTTGCTGGTGAAAAAGGCAATTGAAAAGTAAATGAAAGTCTTGATTCCATTAGAGGTGAAATTATTCCTGAAACTGGTTTATCTCTTGTCAAGGGTGGATTGATTGATGACTATTGTGATTAGAAGATGATCAAAATATTGAGAATGATGAGGATTGAAGATTTTCAAGAAGCAGCTCCTCAGTGAAGAAGATTATCTTTCATTTTATTCCTTTTAATAAATGATGTGCAAAATTGTTCACCCTTATTAACATAATTGTAATCCAGTGAAAAAGAGTCAGGATGACAATTCGTAGCATATGAAGATTATCGAGGATATAAAGTGGGTAAAGTTGAGTTTTTCATCATCTTTTCAATCAAAAATAATGCAAGTCTTTTGGGTAAGATTCGGGATTTAAACTGCAGAATGTGATTTCCATATTCGCATTTTTCAAGCTAATTGTACCATTACTTTACAGCCTGATCAACCAATTTCCCATCGACTGATAACATAATTTCAATGGCCAATGGATCCTAAAATTGGTTAAACCGGTCAATTGATGGTTTCATCGAAAGAGTTGCAGCACATCTTCAGGTGACTTTTGATTGATCAAAGTGAATCAGGTAGGAATTGGAAATACCAAGGAATAGATGATTACGTATTCATATTATCATCAGTATCATCAATCAATGAAGTTTTTCAAGGATAAGCAGGAGAAATTGCTAGAGATAAATCATCATCTTCATCAATCGTCATCGCCAAGTTTACTTTAATTTTCAGTGACAATTAATGAATTTCCAGGAATCCAGTTGTATAAGTAAACAAAGAAACTGGAAAAGAGAGAAAAGAGATTCATTAGTAAATCGTCAACATGTGATTGTAAACCATAACCATTGTAACATTATTACGATAGTTGGGATGAAATTAATTTTTAGGGTTATTTCATCATTTAGAAGACTAAATTTGTAATTGTAAGATACATTACTGGATACTTGCTTGGTTGACATGCAACTGGCAATAAGATGGATTCAACTAAATGATTACATTAATGACAATAAACACATTAAAAAAATGTTTAATACTTCTATTCTTGTAAATGTATGATGTTGTACATCTTTTACAGGTTATCAACCTGTTTAAAGTTAATCTATCTAAATGAAATTAAGCTAATTGTGGTTAAATAATGATATCATCTCAACTCTCCTATTTAGTTCAATGTTAAAATCATGTGCAAGAAAAAGTTTTGGGTACAACAGTTGAACACCAGAAATGAAACCTGGTTACCCTTTTTTACTCTAAAACATTGTTTAAGGTAGACATGATGGTTGCATCATTGAACCAGGAATTACAGTTATTATCACTCTAATTAACTATTCAAATTAATCAACCTAAGGTCAAAGGGGATGAAGGTTAAGTTGACAGTCTTGAAGGTAAATCCATTTCCTTTTGAAAATATCTAGATGATTCTTTATTTTTTTTTGAATACATGGTAAAGCTAAAAGTAAAAAGATACTTACTTTGAACAGTTTATTTCCGTAATCAATTTATCATGTCAGTTGAGATTTATGATGAGTTACAAAGGAAAAGGGTAATCAAACTTTACTTTAGTATCGAGAAAAGATGATGATGATAATGTGTTGAAGAGGAATAAATGATGATAATAATGATACATCAATAATACATAAAGTACAATATTAACTTTGCTAGGGCAAGAAACTCCTTTGAGGCAATCATCATTTCTTTCATTCTTGTACTTCATCTCAAGTATTACCTTACCCAATCCATCAACAATGTTGTTTAACACATTTACTTATTGACACAATTTTAATAGAATAGTAAATCACAAGAATAAAAAATCATTAACAGCTGAGAAAATTGTTTAATTTCAAATCAATTTTACTTTTGAGTTTCCATTTTACGCCGCGAGGCTGATTACATAGCAAAAACTGGTAATCACATGATTAACACATGGACTGATTGGGTTAAGCCAAAGAGCATAACCAAAAACTGGTTATCTCTTGATTAATTATGCATTTTAATTAATTTACATGTGAATAATTTATTTTAAGATGTTCATCAACAATTTTCAACTAGCTGTTTAAATTAGTGTTAATCTAAATTAATTAAAATAACTTGATGTTTTGTTTGGTTTACAATTTTCTCGATCAAACACTTGCAGTAAAACGATTCTCTCAGAACGTTTGTATCCCATGTTTTTGGGTAACATTTTGTTGACCATCTTGTTAATTGGTTAAATTGTCGTTAATTCAGTGAAACATCTTGACTTGAGGAAAGGATTTTCCTTGGAATGATATGATACATGGTATGACATCAGCGAAACATTATTTCATTTCAATGGAATAATAATAATGTCCATCAAAAAAGGTAAGAAACAAACATTTAGGTCAAAATAATTAGACTATAAGCGAAGAGGGTTAACGTTCACGTTTTCATCTTTTACAGACGCAAATCAATGGACTGAAAATACAATCTAAAGTTGGTAAATTGTTAATTGTTGCAATGTTTTTTTTGTTATCGTTAAAGAAATGAATACCAAAGTTGTGGAAAAGAAAGATGAATGTCCAGATATCCTTGTGGAACTGGTTCTTTTGGTTATCATCCTAAAAATCATTTATCGGTACCTAAGAATAGCTCACTATTTACCTCTCACCATCATCATCCGTAGTCTTATTAACATGGCATAATTAACGTAATCATCATCAAATGTCCATCCTCTTTGGGTTGATCGTAAATTTTCCCGGCTTTTTTGGTCTTTCACTTCATCATCGTTGTTTGTCTGCCGAGTAACTCTTCTATCATGAAAAGTTTATCCAGAATTTAACTTATATAAAAAGGTTTACCACTTTTTACAAAACCATCATTCAACCTTCAACCAGATTGACTATGATATCTCTTCCAATTGTGTAATATCCACTGCTATTTTTAATTTACAATTTATTAATTTGTTTGCACCTACAGTTGATTCGACCATGTTCATCATGCACTGTTTATTGACCATTTCAATCCTGGTTTTACCCACAATTCACGGATTAAGATTCCAATGTAAGTAGACCTTTATTTTGTGTCCAAATCCCATCATTTTCTGTTCATTTTTCACTTGGTGTCAAGTTTTCTGAGTTAATCAGTTTCCAAAAGATAATTTCTATAGATTGTCAGTTAATTGCCAGCTGTTAAATTTTCACCACTCGATACTGTGTTATATTGAAATGTGAAACTCGAGTTGTACATTTTTACTAATTGGACAAAAACTGGTGCTTAGTTAATGGTGCATTTTGGGTATGAGTTAATGTTAGATATTGATGATAGTTATAATGATTTCAATAATGATGATCATGGTTATGATTATTCTTGTATGATGTAAATAATAAGAGGCCATTTCAAGTATTATCATGATTATTACCATTATTATTTAACCAATGAAGTTAAAAGGAAAAGAGCAAACTGTAAAGGTGATGTTAGGTAAGGAAATCCGGAGGAAATGATGAAATGGTAAACAGTTTAATAATGAAGACGCTTTTCATCTTCTCCTCTATTCATCATCACAATTATAATTAAACTGTGCTATCTTGTTTAGATTAAGTTAAAGGTCAACTATGGTGACCATTAGATGATAATTCATTAATCATTTTGCCTTTGTGGATAAAAATGTCAACAAATTGTTTCACTTTTTTCTTCTCTTCTTCACATCCTTATTCAAACATTTACCAGCATTTACTCTAATAATGTTATTGTTCTCGTTATGATTTGTAGTTTGTTGTGATATACGACAATTAATCATTTTCTTGCCATTGAATAGTTAATAGTTTAGGCTTAAAAAAAGGACCCAACAACAAACAAAAGCTCACAATTTTAGGTAACTTAATCAATTAATGAACGATATGGTTAGTTAATAGCATTCATTATTAATGTTTCACTAATGGTTATAACATTGTAAATTAAATTTTCAACTGTATAATGATGTTAATAATTGATGTTAATTTTTATTTTCAATATTTGTTTGTTTGTTTGGTCGGGTTAATTTAATTGTAAACTTCAATGAGAAAATAGGAAAACAAAAGAGATCCGGATAATCTAATTTTTTTATCAGGAAACAATTCCAATTAACTCATGCTTAATGATGAGCTTACAAGCTAATTTTATAACCATTTTATTGAGTTTAATTTAATTAACCTTTTCATTCAATTAACATCAATTCAAATTTTCATGTGAAATGTAAAAAAAGTACATTAACAGGGTTAAAAGTATTGAGTCAATTTTGGATGTCAGTGTTGATTCAGTCTCTTCCATTTTTCATTTCGATAAATCCTTTACCTTCATGATGAAGTGGATTAACCAGATTGTGTTGACTATTATAATTAATAAACTGTGTTCTGTCTGTTCTCCTTCTGATTCATTAGCGGACGATAGGCCTGGACATCGATTTGAAGGCGATGACAATTCAGTTGGATTGGCTTCTTGTTCAACAGCTCAAAATGGATCAGGAGTTTGTGTTCACATCTATGAGTGTCCCAACTATAAAGATTTAATACTTGTTCGGTCAAAGCCCAAGATATGCCACTGGTCGGGTCGTGTTCCAGTCATTTGCTGTCCAGTTGTTGATCCACCAAAAAAGCCTAAACCTGAACCCGAGACTCCAGTGGAAGTGCATCGTCGTCAGCGTAACTCGAGTGACTGTGGTACTAGGTTGAGCAATACAAGGGATGTATCTCGAATTGTTGGCGGTGATGTTGCCTATGAAGGTGAATTTCCTTGGAATGTGGCCATTTTCATCCGTGAATTGGATGGTGATGTTGTCCATGAATGTGGTGGCTCAATAATATCTGATCTATATATTTTAACGGCTGCCCATTGTTTTGAAAATTTACGTCCTTCCAATTATCTTATTGGTGTTGGTTCCAATGATTTATCTGCTACAGTTAAACATGAAGTTGAGGAAATTAAAGTTCATCCCAATTATGATAATCACCAGTTTTACAATGACATTGCCTTGGTTCGGTTAAAGAAAAAATTAACCTTTAATGAAGCTGTTCGACCCATTTGTTTACCATTTGATTATTTATCCAGTCAATCAACATCCATCAAATCACCTTATAATGAAACAGTTACCATCTCTGGTTGGGGATTTACTGAGTATAATGGACAGCGAAGCCGTATTTTGTTGAAAGCTGATTTAAATTTAATGCCAAGGGAAATGTGCAATCAAACCTATTCTCGGCTTGAGTCGAGAAGGATTTCACGAGGAATAACGGATGATTTTATTTGCGCAGGAACTCCTGATGGGAAAAAGGATGCCTGTCAAAGTGACTCTGGTGGTCCTTTAATTGCCAAATTAGAGACCAATGATCAAGTTGAACCAGGATGGGAATCTAAATTTGTTCAAATTGGTATTGTTTCCTTTGGTTATAAATGTGGGGTTCGTGGTTATCCCGGTGTTTACGTTAATGTGTACAAATATTTGAGTTGGATTGTTGACAGCATTAAAGAACCATCAATGCCAGCAGTTGACCTTAAATTGAACTTGGACAATTTTAACAAATGATAAACTCCTGTTGATTATGACGATGATTGTTTGATTGTAGACAAAATGGAGGAAAGAAAAAGGAAACCGGAATAAGTATAGAGACTTAAAAAAGAAGTTAAAATGCACGAATTATCCTTTTCAATAGCTTTATATTGATGAAACCAGGAGATACAAATTGATTGAAGTGAAACCATGTTTCCACGTCTCTCGTGGCAAATTACATTACTCACCCGGAGGCAAATAATATTGGTCATCTTTTATTTTGTGTCTTGAATCTTCATCTTTTTTCTCATTTAATGATGTTGGCCAGCTTTTAATCCACTCGTTTTTGACGGTTGATGGTGCTATTATCTCTCCATTTTTTCAATCATTGAAATGTATTCCACTTTCTCATCTACTGCCAGAATATTTTCAATTTTTCCTGAGAATACTTGATTGCTACAAATTATATACGGAACAAGAGAAGCAAGGAAAAGCGGAATCATTTTCACTCATTTCAAAAGCAAAAAAGACTTTGATTGATCAACTTTAACTCTTGATTATTCCAGTCTGATCTCGTTTTTTATATACACATTTATTCTTATGTCTTATTAACCAATGTGATCGCCATCCTTGGATCTCATCTTGGACTTTCTCAAGATCATCAACTATTTTTTTTGTGCTAACTTTCAAAGAAGATGATAATAGCCTTGGGGTTAAAACCAAATCTACAAGTTTACATAACTTACTTGGAAAACAATTTCTTTGCACTGATTTTGTTTTACTTTTCTCTTCATCATTGAATTGACTCTCATGATATTTTCATCGTCATCATCATCGTCATTATCATCATCTTTTTCAAGACGCTGGATTTCCATCAGATAACAACTCTCTCTCATTGACGAAAGTAAATCAGAATTATCATCACGAAACTTTTTTTTCTGTGAGACTTTATCACCCTCAGGCAAAGACAAAATGATTTTCAAGTAACCAACGAATTATCGCAGAGTTTTCTCTCACATTTTCCCCATTTTTATCTCAATTATCATCACCATTCTTTGTCTTTTTTGTTTACAGCCTGACATCTACTTTTCCATGTTTGTGTTGCTTAATGAAAGGACAACAATAAAACAAGATGGTAATCATTTATCAAAAGCTGGACGTAAACATTAGTCTGTAAATAAAACACACTTTTCAAATAAACACTTATTTACGTTATTTATAGTCAGCTCGGACCGCTTTCCTAATTATTTTAACCTTGCATCAGAATCCTTAGGAATTACCATTTATTTATTTACACAGAGTGTAATAGCTAAAAAAGAGTTTAATTTTACTTGTCAATTTTCCAGGAATCAAGAACGGGATTATCCAAATGTATTTAGCTTTTGCATATTTCAAGATCAGATAATTTTTAAACTTGCTTCCAAAGTCATTCAAGATCACTCGGCTATTTGACTATTGATCACCTATCAGTTAAAGTAAAAGTTCAAGTAAACTCATATTTTTTATGGTTGGTGTCATTGACTCACAACAATGATATGTTATCAATCTATTAGTGAATGATACAATTTGTTATTTATACAGCAAACTTCAAATTTCAGAAATATTTTCAAATATACAAATTCAATTCACATAATCACACATCAATTATTATTAGAGCAACCTCGGTATTTTGATAAATATTGAAAATCACAAAAATTAGCTGCTTATCAAATGTTACAAAAAAGCTCATTCAAGTATTCCAATCCTGTTGCGTTATCTCAATGATGAATGTAACCACAAATAATTAATAAAACGTTAAATTGATAAAACTAGGAATTTTATTTTACTGTTATGAAGTTATCATGGATCCCTCTACCGTTAAAGTCATACGAGAATGAATTCGATCATTTGTTCGAGAAATGGTTATAATATGCAACAAGAGATGGCAGCTCAGTTAATGTAAAGAATTTTTGTTTGAAAAGATTCATTAATCAGTTTTGTTTCAATCTTATTCTGTATCTGATGAGCAATAACTATAAACGTAATCAGCCGATGTATATTCAAAGGATGGTTATTTGCTAAGCATCTCAATCTATTCAGATAATTAATAACTTACAAGAAAAGAAGGAATAATCAGATGTAACGTTTGATTGGTTATTTTGAGGAAGAAAAGTGTTAAGTTTACCTTCCAAAACTATTTATCAGCTGTTTACAGAGCCATCTACATTCGAGTAGCTTTAAGTTACTGGGCTTGGATTTTTTGTTTCGTTTTTTTTTATTACAATTTTGTTTGTTTGATTTATTGTATTGAATTAATTGTGTTTAGCTTGTGTAGTTTTTATTGATCCAACCTCAATGTGCTTACTCTAAGTGTTGTTTATAACGCAAAAGCACCTTAAATTGCAATTTTTGTATCAAGATATATTGGTTTACCATCAAAGACAACAATATAAATTATACTATTGTTTCAAGTGTGAACAAAATTTAACAGAAATCTCTTCATTTCTATTGTAGATCTTGTTTGACTCTCTCCTTCTCCCTCTCGATTTTTTAATTTTGTTTTATTCCTTCTTTTTTGGCTGGTCCATTTGAGAAGTGAAAGGTTTAAAACAAATGGAGAGGCCATTTGATATCTGCTCTTTTGGTATGATCTTGCAAGGTGCTGATGGACATCATCTTCAAGGAAATGATCCTACCAATGGAAGTCTTCAACACAGGGACGCAGGACGCTATGGAGGTCAACATCATTATAATCAAGTTGGCTCAGGTCCTGGGCATCAGCCTGGTCCACATCAGGGACATCACGGTCCAAGTGGACATGCAAGTCAGCCGGGTCCTCCTCCACCAGGACCACCGCCACATACTGCTCCTGGTCCTACTGGACCTTATATGGATATATTTGGTTACAATAATTTTGGACCTTTTTTCCCTAGTGCAACCCAAGCTGCCAATACCACTGGTAATGATCATTTCTGGTCTAAACAAGCTATAGGACAACCTTTACCTGGTAATCCGTACCTTTCAGTCCACGATGAAGCCTCTTACTATTCAAGGGACACCTATGGTGATTCATTTAATGCTGGTGTTCTCAAACATGTTGAAACTGGTATGGGTGCATTGACCCTTGATTATATAAAGACTGATTTTACCGGCCAAACAGTTGGTGCACCTTCATTTCAACAAGCTAACCCTGCACCTCAATCAGTAGCAGTTACTCAAGCTGCTGTTCCTACAGCAATGCCTGGTGCTGGTCACTCAGGAATCGGCAATTCATTTGATGTTGCTAAACGATTGGACTCTATTAACTTAACATCTAATAGTGTTGGACTCGGTGTAAATCAAGGTTCTAGTAATGTTGTTGGATCAGCTAGTAAAAAGCCTTCTTGGGCTTCAGTAGCTTCTCAACCTGCTAAACCTGTACCTAAATCATTAAAATCAAAAATATCCGGCTCAACAGTTCTATCTTCGGGTAAACACATGCCTCCTCCTACACCACCCACTAGTATTGACAGTATAGGTACATGGGAGAGTAAAAATGGTTCCTCAATTGGTGTGAAAAATATTCCTGGGTCTGGTCCAGTATCTGTGACTGGTCATGGTCAACCTTCTGGAGTAGGGAGACACAGTGGTAGTTCAAGTAGTGTCAATCCTGTCGGTGCGATGAATAGTAATAGTGGACAAACTAATCCACCAATAGTTCTTGGTAACGGTTCAACCTCATGGGGACCTTCCCAAGGGAATAGAAATGTGTCTAGAAGTGCAAATGTAGCCAATTCAGGGACTGGTTATATTCCATCGTCCAATTTAAATTCATCTGCAGTTCGACAAGCTTCCGGGCAAGTCGTTACTTCTGCATCTAATCATCATCACAGTGTGACAGGAGGTGGTGCTATTCAAAACAATCATCATTTTCATCAATCTTCTACTGGAATGGGCCAAAACTTTCAAGCAAATGAAGTAGGTTTAAGTGGTAGCGGTGTAGGTGCAGTACACCATCATCACCACCGAGAAAATAACCGTTATGGAGGGCAACATCAACATAATCATGTTGGCCCTGGTACACATCCACATCACAGCCATGGTCATCACCATTCTTCCTCACACCAGCATACTGGTTCTGGTGGTCATAGTTCCAATCATCATCAACAACAACATCATCTTGGGGGTCATGGACACTCAAGTGGAACTAATCATCATTACCATGGTCATCATGGTCAACAAAGTCATCATCATCAAGGACATCATGGTGCATCATCTAATGCTGGTCCCCAAGGTTCGGCTAGCTCCGGTGGTAGTGGTGGAGGTGCTACCAGTAATAGTTCTATTGTTCCATTGGATAATAATGGACCAAGTTATCCTTCACATCCAATTCTTGACAAGTTACGGCTTGAAAATAACTACAACCCAAAAGAATTTGACTTGTCCCCCAAGGATGCGAGATTTTTCATTATTAAATCTTACAGTGAAGATGATATCCATCGCTCTATTAAGTATAGTATTTGGTGCTCAACTGAACACGGTAATAAGAGGTTGGACAATGCATTTAAATCCCAAGAAGGCAAAGGTCCTATGTATTTATTTTACTCTGTTAATGGCAGTGGACATTTCTGTGGTATGGCTCAAATGTTGTCTATGGTTGATTACAATTCTAGCAGTAATGTATGGGCTCAGGACAAGTGGAAAGGACAGTTCAAAGTTAAATGGATTTATGTCAAAGATGTTCCTAATGCTCAATTAAGGCACATAAGGCTAGAGAACAACGAGAACAAGCCTGTGACCAATTCTAGAGACACTCAAGAAGTACCTTATGCCCAAGGTAAAGCAGTACTCAAAATCATGCATAATTATCGTCATACAACTTCAATTTTTGACGATTTTTTGCATTACGAAAAACGACAAGAGGAAGAATATCAGAGACGAGTTGCTGGTGACTCCTTGCCAAATAACAACAGTTCCGGAAGTGTATCAAGCAGTAATGGCCACAACAACAGAGAAGATAATAATAGAGGAAATACTAGAGAACCTAGAGACAGAGAAAATTCAAGAAAAAACAACAGAGATAACAATCGGGACAGCAACAATAAAGATAACAGTAGTTACCATAATTTAGCGAACTCAAGTGGACATGCATCTAACGCAAACTCTAGCAGTAATAAAAATCCATCAAATTTTTGGGAGTTGGATGATTAACAACATCGAACATTGCTCGAAAGTTTTATTCCTTATGAAAATTGGTCTGCTTGATAGTTTCTTGTGTATTCCTTTAACTATTTCTCCCAGTCTCTTTCACGCACTCTTTCTCAGTTTTCAAATTCTATCTCTTGATTATTTTTTTCCATTTCTATTCCTTTTCCTTCTTATCCTTAGCCTTAAATTTTTAGTGTTATCTCTTTCTATGCCTTTTTGTTTTTTTCTTAAGTCTCAAGTCTTCTCTTCAAATTCAAGACAATAATCTATTACCAAACATCAACAATAACATCAACTGCTAGAGCAAAAACTTACCAGAACAAGTCTAAGCTGATATTGGTCACGCAAACAACCTGCCAAAATGAACTTATGAATGAAAAACTTAAAAATAAAAGCCCTCAATTTGTTATTTCAATTCATTGATAAAGACGATATAAAGCTTCAAAGGATCAACTCACTGCTACGGAAGCTTTTTCCAAATGTTTTAAAATCATTCTGATGAACGTTGGGCTATAAAATCTAATCGTGGTTTTTGAAAGGCGACTTGTGGGCATTTGAAAAAATTTTCATTTTTCCTCTCCAATTCTCGCAAACACCAATGTTTAACCGCAACCTGAAAATATTTAAGCTCTCTTTCTGTCTATTCTTTTCTCGCTCTCTGTCTCTATCTCTATCTCTTTTCTCTTCTTTTCTTCCTAGCAACCTTAGAGTTACCATTTAAAGTAAAAGAAATCAATTTTTGAGACTTCAAGCTATGAGTGATTAAAGAAAAGAAAGAAAAGAGAAATAAAGAATCACACACAATAATTCTGGTCAATTTTTCTCTAAGAACCATCTTTAAGCACAAAGAAGCAAAAAGATAACGGAAACTTTTGACATGTAAACAATGATCAACATTTAATTGATTCTCATAGAAACGTGTCGATTAATGTATATAAAAAGATTTGACTTACAAAATAACAGACAAAAAGAGACCACAAAGGTGTAAATGTTATTGAATTCAATTTATTGATTCAATCAATCACTAGCAACAAAGATCGACACAAAAAAACATATTTGATTACGGAAACTGAAATATGCTCTTTATTATGACCGTCTCAAACGATTGGAATCAATTTACATAAATCATCAAAACCATCAGTGAGAATCAAATTCAGCTATTCTCAGTTTGCAGTTTACCAAGATAACACAAAAATCAATTAAAAGCCTTTATTTTTGTTTTGCTTAATAGCTTCAGTCGAGATTCAATGCATTTTTTAATGATCTTACTGTCAGTTGTTTAATGAACACGTTATTTAACAATATGATTTCAATCTTTAAATCATTGTTTTTCTCTTCGACTTTTCCATTCTGACAAATTTTGCAAATTAGATTGTAATTCATCTTTTTTATTTAAGCAAGGAAAAGTAATTTATTCATTAATTTCACTAAAATTACTAGAAATAAGCTTTTGTTTCAATTTATTTTAATCAAATAACATCGAAGATTTACTGATTGAACGGAAAAACATTAACATGTGGAAAAAAGAGGATCAACCACAGAAATAATTGTAAATTTGATAAAAAAGCAGTGATCTAAAATTGTGCAAAATTAATCATTGATCAGGCAAATGCAATTTATGAAGTCATAGTTTTTAAAATAGCTTTACGGCTATGTTGAAAAAATTGTGTTGGGTGATAAATAATTTCATCCAGATCCGAATTGGGGTTTTTAAAATTGAAATACTTTGTACAGGCTTCTCTAAATTGTTTATCAATTGAATTTTGTACTATCGAATTAATCAAGATTTCTGGTAGATTTGATTTGGATAGAAAAATTGTCAAATTTTCGCGGTTTAACTCTTTAAAAGGACAGCCATGACAATCTTTGGGTCCAGTGGTGATTGAGTTGATAATTTTTGCACAACTATAACAGCTAATACTCCGTCTTTTACCTTCTCTTCCATAAATATAACGGAGAAAGTATCCATATTTAGAATTAAACTTCTCAACAGTTATTCGATGTGTGAATTGTTGTCTCAATAATTCGGTAGTTTCCTCCAAACGAAGACCTAAACTTTTCAAAAATAGGCAATATTGCAACCGAGCGTAATGTCGAAGATGATGATTTTGTAGTAAACGGTGATGAATATTGTTCATACAAGGTGGAAACGATTGGTCTACCAAAGAGTTGACAATTTGTAAAGTTGACATATTGCTATCTTTGGTTGGTAAAAATTTTCTTATTGAGGAAACTGACCCAATTAGTCTATTATGAGCATTCTCTATAATTGGTATCAACCGACGTTTTTCATCCAAATCTGCTAGAGATTTTCTTAGCGTCCTCATAGATGCATACATTTCTTTCTTGAACCGTTGACAAACAATAGGAACCATTTGATATCCAGTGACTAGGACATTTCCTTTGTAAGGAGCAACTCGTCTAGAAGCAATTAATTCCAAGGCATCTTCAAACTTCACTTTAAACATGATTCCGGGTTTGGTGGCATAACTTTTGAACTTGACACCATGTTCATTTTCTTCAAATTCATCATCGATCTGGTTTCTTAGGAACTTTAAACTTTTATAGCAAAGAAAGTCATCTCTACTCTTTTTGTGACAACGGTTAATCACTTTGCGATAATGGCAAGCATCACCGTCCAGTTTAATGACTTGATATTCATGGAGATTGTTTGCATAAACAAAGTCAACAATTTTGTGTCTAACACCTTCATCCATTAATCGGAATCGCAGCAGTTCACATTCAACTTCAACAAACCATCGTGTCATTGATTCATCAAGAGAGTAGTAGAGGCGAAGAAGGAAATGAGACACTTCATCACGATAAAGAGCATCTTTTTTGTTTTTAGACCAAAGCGTCGGGTTAGTTGACAAGATTTTGAAGAAATTATCTTCACCATTACTTGTGTCGATGAGATTTTGTTTCAAAGTTGCATAATAGTTTGGGTTGCCTTTGATTGTTGAGTAGTCATCACGATTAGACACTAATATTCTGAGAATTTTGAGCCGTTCATCAATCAGTCTGGGAACTTGATCCAATATCAAATTACCAATCGGTGGTTCGCTATAAAAAGAGACACCAAAAAACTTTTGATCCATTCCAATCCAAGAGATGAAATCCTGTGCAATAAAGTCATTATTTGGATTGAAAACACTTGAAAAATCAATAAAGTTACAAGTAATAATCAAGAAAATTGTTCATAATTATTTAATCGTTAATATCATGTTTAAATTTCAACACAAACAAACTCGACCAATCAAAAAGGAAGAGTAATGTGCCATCTGCCATGAAGAAAAAATACTCAATAGAGGATGGGCTTGCGTTCAGTTAACTCAAGGCGGTTATTATAACTCCAGTTAGTAAAATATCGTATTTAATTAATCTTTAACAATCAACAAATGATTATTGCTCATGATAATTATCACTATTCTCTATCAATGCGTAAAAATAATTTCTCATCTCAGTTGAGTATTCAATTAAATCCGAGCTTTGCCTGTGTTTGAATAAAAAGTACTTTAACACTTGTATTTTATTACCACCAATTGAAATAAAATTTTATCACATCAAGAGATACAGATCATGATTTAATAATTGATATAAACATCTTGGTTCAACAAAGAGTTTAGAAAACATTGGTTCTTAACAATTCAAAGGCACTACGTAAAAATAATGTATCTTAAAGGTGTCCGAAAATATATTTCCAAAAGTTTTAATCATCGAAACTCCGGGAATTATTTTATTTAAATTCTTTGAATAAGAATGGCAGATGCTCCTCCACCTCCATTACAAATTGATGCGATACCGAATTCACCTGATTTCAAGTTATGGACAAGATGATTGACAATTCGAGCACCTGACATTCCAATTGGATGACCCAAACTAACAGCACCACCGTTCATATTAACCTTTGCAGGGTCCAAACCAAGAATTTTAATGTTTACTAAGGGAACGACACTGAAAGCTTCATTGATTTCCCACATAGCAACGTCATGGGCTTTCAAACCATTACGATCCATTAACTTTTGCATAGCACCAACTGGAGCAATAGGAAAATCTATAGGTTCTATTTCGTTGTCAGCATAATCAACAATTTTTGCCAAAGGATTAAGGCCTAACTCTGTTGCAGTTGTTGATCTCATCAAAAGACAAGCAGCAGCACCGTCATTTAATTTACTAGCATTGGCAGCTGTAATGGTACCGTCTTTTTGAAAGACACTTCTCAGACTACTCATTTTATTAAAATCTACCTTGTGGTACTCTTCATCGTCAGTAATTGTCTTGGTACCAGCTTTTCTGTCAGGAACAGCAACTGAGATCCTTTCTTTGTCAAATAAACCAGCTTTAGCTGCAGCAGCACTCTTCTCATAACTTCCAATTGCATATTTATCTTGATCCTCTCGGGTTATACCGTACTTTTTGGCAGTATTTTCACCACAATTACCCATGTGAATTTGATGGAAAGAGTCCCAGAGACCATCATGAATGATACCGTCAATCAGCTGAGCATTGCCATAAGTTGCATCTCCACGTCTCAGGTAAAAGGGAACATTAGACATACTCTCCATTCCACCGGCAATCATAATATTGGTTTGGAAAAGGGCAAGTGATGAAGCACTAAACATGATTGACTTCATTCCTGAGGCACATACTTTATTGATAGTTGTTGTAATTGTCTTCGGTGGTAAACCAGCATTGATGACTGCTTGGCGAGTTGGTGCTTGACCAGCTCCAGCACCAACAACATTACCCAAAATGACTTCATCTACTTGCTCTGGTTTTATGTTTGATTGCGATATCAAAGCTTTCACAGCTTGAGATGCTAATTGTGGAGCAGTTAATTGAGACAGAGATCCTCTAAAAGATCCAATCGGTGTCCGAAGCGCTGAGACAATAACAACATCAGGTTTACTTGCAGCTTGAATGCTCAAATACCGTATTGATTTGATAGAAGTTGGCGAAACAGTTTTGAACACTTTACTAATCATTTTGTGGCAATAAAACTGTTACAAATTGATAAATTAAAACAATTATAAATCTTAAAGGCACAGTAAATCAATTATTTAATAACAGACAAACAAGTAAAGAGTCATAAGCTTGTATCAAGTGAGAAAAATGAAGACAGACGGCTTGACAGAGAAACAGCTTGAATTGTAAATAATATCTCAGTGAGTATGAAAATTTTTTGAGGTTTTTTCTTGTTAGATTATGATCACCAACTGAATTGATAATTGATAAAATAAATTGATCTGATAATTCAGAGTGTGTAATTACTTGTGCTTTATATTGAAAATTATTCATAATGTTTATTTATCATTTCATGTAAAATACTTTTAGGAATCTTTTCAAAAAATAGCCTCCAGAATTAAATCAATTTTTAAACATTATTTTTGTTCTAAATTTGGTAACAGTCTCGATCTGAGGACAAAGGTTGGGCTTTTACACATGTTTTATATTTCACACTTTTTTAAACCAATGGCATTGAATTGAAAACATAATTAAGTAAACAAAATATTTTTAGTTCAGTCTACTGTTCATTAACCATGGAATTAAATTGAAATGTTTAGTAAAATTGACTCCTGGATGTTCCTCATGTAATTGTTCGAACTTAAGAACAAAATTTCTTAGTTTTAAAGTATTGAAAAACTAATTATTTGAATTCATACTAATCAAATCAAACTAAAGGAAAGGAAGCAATAAGTCAGACGATATCGGCTAACCAGGCAATACTCACAACTCATCTGTGTTTGGTTTTATTTTTTGTGTTTTATTATATTTTAACATTTAATTTGAATTAATTGAATTGAATTTTAATTTGTGTAACACCATTCTATCCTCAGCATTCAAAAAGACATCAGCTATTGGATAATAATTTAAATGTCTTTTAAACAGGTGTGAAAGCCCCTCCTCTGTCCTCAGATCGAGACTGTTACCCTAAATTTCCCATGTATAGAGTAAATTGAATAATTTTATCACAATATTTCGACAATTTGTTTGAATCTGGACAATATTCGAATTGTAGCTGGGCATTTTCGTATTCTGTTGGGTGACAAAATTCTGTTGTGAGTCAATCTCAACTTTATCTCGATGTTCTTTGAATCTTATGAAATAATTTTTGACCTTGGTGTTGGAAACGTTGCAATTAACTCTGATCAATTGAGTTTAATCTAATAGTTTGATATCATTTCAGACTTTCTCCTATTCTTCAAATAATCCTCTTCAATCTCATCAGATTATAGCACCATGTTATCAAAGCAACAATAGATCTAATTTGCTGTTAAAGGTCCAATTGTCTACTCAGGATCCTAATTAATGCGATTTTAATCTAGTAACAAATAATTTGGTATAATTATTGAAGGAAGGAAATCAAAAATTCCATGTAATCAAATACAATTTGAATAGATCAATGACCTGAATACAATTTGAAATTATTTGGGATGTTTCTAGCCGTTCACAGTTCCAATTAATTGGATTTTTACTTCTCTGGTTATTCTTTTAAAGAATTAACAATCGATTTGACTCAAATTACAATTGAATTTGGTTTTATTATTATTTAATGGAAGAAACGGATTGAAACAAGTTTGAATGAGAAACCAAAACAATAAAAAAACTGGTACACAAGAATCAGCTGTAACCAGTCAGCCATGCCTAACTGTAACTGAAAACAAATGTTTGGTTTGACTTCATTTTTTTCAAACGATTGTAATTGAATGTTTTAAAATGCTAATTTTCATAATTTAATTCCGAGTGAAACTTAATAATTCAAAGGATAAGCTGATACCGATACAAAAAGGTAAGATGAAAACTAGTTTCCTACTTAACCTTCAATGATCAATTGTGAACAATTTTTCCTTGTTTTGGTTTTTTGTTTCTCTCAAGATAGCAGACTGTCAATCTTATTACTGTGTTTCTTATTTTTTCTGATTTAGATTTCATTTTAATATGTGAACCCTTCTGATCTTTGGTGGCTAACTAATTAAGTGATTAATCACTCGGTTACCATGTCTGGGAAAACGATTGAAGAGCCTAAAACTGTACAGTGGCCTTTGTTTACAATCTTCTCCCCAACTAAAATAATCATCTTTCTTTGGAATACTTTTAATCGGTTAACTTTCATCTTCATAGCCTTCTTATTAATATGTTGGTCATCCATGTTCATCTATTTAACCTTTTACTTCCTCTATATACCCAAAATAAGTCACACTCGGAATATTAACTTTCAATTTGACTCACGGTGCCAAGACGACTGTCTTAATCCTTATGCTGAAGTTGCCTTACACGATTTCAAGACTCCATCAATTTTTGCTCGAGGACAATCGTATCAATTTACTGTAGATATGAATGTTCCAGAATCTGATGTTAATTGGAGTCAGGGCATGTTCATGGTGAGGTTAAAGTTAATGGATGAAAAGGAGCAAGTATTACTCAACACAGCTTCACCAAGTATTTTATATTATAAATCACCAATTTTGAGAATTATTAATATCATCTGTTATTGGCCATGGCTTGTTACTGGGTTCACCGGAGAATCTCAACATCTTACGGTGCCATTAACGAACGAGTATTCGGATTCACTGCAACCTGGCCATGGATCAGCTTCGAAAGCAATGATTTATTTAGAAGGTAAGTCGACTTGTATTCGCTGTTCGTTGGTAAAATGTGTGAAATTTCAATTATCTTTTTAATTTTTTCATAACAGCTCGACAGATCCAAATCTACTCAGCAGTTTTGAATATCAAGGCTAATCTTAAGGGTCTAAGGTATGTCAAACACACAGGATAAATTATCATTTATTAATATTGATTATTTTCATCATAGGTATATGATGGTTAACTGGCCTATAACGAGTGCACTGTTTGGTACTTTCTCTATTGGATCGTTCTTGTCTATTATCACGTTATTGAGTGTTTATCGAGCTTTGAGCAACCAAGGCAATGATATTATTGCAGATGACCAAAGACAACAACCCAGCTTGCATATCAAAGGAAATGAATTACCAGATCCTAATTCAGGTCTTTCTGGAAATATTGATTCTGAAGCTTCCTCAAAGCTTGGTGAGGATGATGGTCCTGATTCTACAAACCCAATCTAGTCGGTTAAATTTTGCCCCGAACAAATGTGGATCTCATTTTCAATTGTCTAACTTTAGACTAATTCAACTTATTTTTGTGACGAGGAATATTTTTGTTGCATCTCAAACTTTATACGAAATTAAGCTTTTCATGTTATCAAAGAAATAAATTTTCTTAATTTCTTAAAATCATTGAATGCTTTATTAATGTTCACTCGTAGTAATTTTACAAAAAAAACATCAATGAATTCTATCAATATAATAGTTTTATTGTTAACAAATCAATAGTTTGGCAAATAATTTTCATGGTTTATAATAGAAAATTAGTAATAGACTAAAAGTCAAATTTATACACTTTTTAAAGTTAAGAAACCTTCGAGTAATAGTAGTGTAAAATAGATTGAATGTGTTCTCTGTGGAAATGAATGAATTCACAATTAAATAGTCAATAAACTAGTAATTTGGAATAGGAAGACTCATTTAAAGAGCTTGAACAAGCATAGCTGAAGATCCACCACCTCCGTTACAGATAGCAGCAATACCATATTCACCGGATTTCAAAGTGTGAGCTAAATGAGCGACAATCCTGGTTCCAGAAGCAGCAACAGGATGACCTAAGGCTACGGCACCACCATGTATATTAACTTTACTAGGATCTAGATCGAGCAGTTTAACATGGACCAGAGGAACAACACTGAATGCTTCGTTAATTTCCCACATTTTGACGTCGTCTTTATTGATGCCATTGCGAGCTAACAATTTCTTAATGGCACCAACTGGAGCTTCAGGGAAATCAATTGGGTCTAACTCATTATCAGCGTAGTCAACAACTTTGACTAATGGATTCAAACCGTGTTCTTGAGCTGTTTCAGCCCTCATCAGGATACAAGCAGCCGCACCATCGTTTAATTTCGAGGCATTAGCAGCTGTAATGGTTCCGTCTTTTTGGAAGACACTTCTCAAGCTACTGATTTTACTGAAATCTACTTTAAGATATTCTTCATCTTCACTGACTGTTTTGGTTCCGGCTTTTTTGTCAGGAACAGTGACAGAGATCTTTTCTTTGTCAAATAAACCAGCTTTAGCTGCAGCAGCACTCTTCTCATAACTTCCAATTGCAAATTTATCTTGATCCTCTCGAGTTATACCATACTTTTTGGCAGTATTTTCACCACAATTACCCATATGAATTTGATGGAATGCATCAATTAATCCATCAGATAAAAGAGCATCATACAGTTGAGTGTGTCCATAATTGGCATCACCTCTTTTCAATATGAAAGGGACATTTGACATACTCTCCATGCCCCCAGCAATCATGATATTTGCCTGTTTAAGAGACAATAAACCAGATGCAAGCATAATTGACTTCATTCCAGAGGCACATAATTTGTTAACTGTAGATGTAACAGTGGATGATGGAAGGCCTGAGTTAATTACAGCTTGCCGAGTAGGATGTTGTCCTCCTCCATGTGTTAAAATGTGACCCATAATTATTTCATCAATTTGATCTGGTTTGATTTTTGATTGGCTGATTAGGGCTTTAATAACTTGAGTTGCCATTTGGGCAGCACTCAATTGCGATAATGAACCTCTAAATGAACCGATTGGAGTCCGTAAAGCAGAAACAATAACAACATCTGATCCTTTTGCATTACCGGTACTCAACTGCCGAATTGATGACAATGTTGAACGACTGGTCAAGAATTGACAGATCCTCATTTTCACTATTAAAAATCTGTAGATTCACAAAATAATTAAAATCAAACAGTTATTATGGAATAGGTAAAGTCAGTGACTTGAAGTTGTTGAACAGCTTTCAAGTAGAAACAACTGATAACCAGTAAAGCTGCGGGCAAGTTGAGTACATCAACAAGTAGTATCTATCTCTATGTTATCAAGATACTTAAGAGTAGCGGTAAGTGTAAATCAGGTAAAATTGCACTTGTTGTATCGGTGTCCATTTTTTCGAGAAAAGGGATTTCATGCTCGAATTTTCAAGCCATCTTTCCGTCAACGGTTTCTTAGCATATCTTATTGATTACTCAATTCCGTCTACCCATCTCTATAAAGCGTTTGTGAGTATGACAGTCGTAATATTGTCAAGAAATTCAGTTTCAAGTTGAGCTCTGCAACTCCTTAAATTTCACAAACCCTTAACAAACAATTTCACATTTCTATCCTTTATGACAGCTTCAACCATTGAAGTCCTCAAAACCTTATTCACCAAATCTTCTTTACATCTGAATCGCTCTGAAAATTCCTAGCAAAATTTCGCAGATGAATACGATCATAATCATCCCAAATTTTATCAAAATCTTTCTTCTCTAGAGCAATTAATCAATTTTTTACAGCCAACTATCTACTGATTGCTCTGATTGAACTCAACTCACATTCATTTTATGAACTTTGATGGTTAACTGGATAACTAAAGCCACGGTTAGATTTTGCCAAAAACACTGTCTGCTTAAGCTAATTCAAGACAATAAAATCTATTAATATAATTTGCACAAATTTATAATAAATTTGATCAACAGTTTTCACAGTCTTTATTTACTCAGATTTACAGTTGCAGATTTGAGATTGGTGTTTGGTTCGTGCGATGATGAAAAAACGTGAAGTAAATGAGACTGACTAGCCCTGCATAATAAGTTGTTAATAAGAACAAACCAAAATTTGGCTTTAAAATGAGATACTGTATAACAGTATAAAAGTATAACAGTATAAAATGTATAACAAAATTTTTAAATGGTTGATCATGAGCCATTTAAGCCATGAAACATTCTCAAGTTTTAACCTTTCAATCTCTCAACACTTAGAATAAGCTGTTAATAATATTAAACCAGTGATATGACGGATGTGCAAATCACCACGCGAAATGGAACTACCTTGCAAGTTCTATGATTCTTCAATTATTCCTAGTCTCCCTGATCATATATCACCAATATAAGAACTGACTTATGAGTCTCGAGTTATTATTACAAATGACCGTCAAGAGGGAAAAACGCCCAATACCGTACATAATTGAAGATCATTGTTTTGTTCAATCCTGGTTACTTACAAAGCGAATAGAGTGTGCGACTATGCCTGAAGCTATGCTTCATGCTATAATCTATCAAAAATACTTGCAAAATGCCTTTACAGGTCTTTTAGGGTTGCCGCTTTGGGTTTTGGATTTTGCTGCAAACTCCTGAATCAAGACATTTTAGGAGCTTATGTAGAACCGTCTTTCGAGTAATGAGTTTTGTGAAACCGTCTGGTGTCTCAAATGTACAAAATGAGACCAATGTTGAAACTACGAACATAATTTTGTCAAAGATCGCTATCAGAGATATTTTTAATTCAAAAAAGGGAATCAATTTTATTCCCTTACAACCAACAAAGGTACATCTCTCAATCGGAATGAAATATTTGGATGTGTTTAACGAAAGGTTTTATTCCAAATGAACTTTATTGTGACAAAAGCTAAAGGTTCCAAATTTTGGATTTCTTATTCTGACGATGATTTTTCATTATGAATTTCTGTCTTTTCGATATTGATTTTTTTGAGATGTGGTTGATCGTTGGGAATAAATGGCTTCATTTTGCACCCAATATTTCCGTCACTTAGATTTAGATCTGTTGAAACTTTGTGCAAGGGTTTGATGTAAATCTACAGTAAATCCACACTTTTTCGATATTTTTGGAGGTACTCCATCTATTGGAATAATTAATACTTTTCTCTTATATTTTTCTTTCTAATTTTTCATTTTAACTTGACCAATCAAAAAGGCTCAATAAAAAACCAAAAGACGCGAAAAATCTATCAACCCAAGAGAAAAGTATTAATTATTCCAATAGATGGAGTACCTCCAAAAATATCGAAAAAGTGTGGATTTACTGTACAATGATGGAAGTAGACTATATGCAGCCTACTCTGGCACACTGTGCTAGCACAACTCCAACCCTTTTTCTAGGTTTAAGTTCAAGTTGTGCTAGCACAGCGTTCCAGAGAAGGCTGCTGAAGACAGAAATAAAAACGATTGAAATTCATTGAAGGCCACTTCCAATGCATTTCAATCGTTTTATTAGCACCTACACTCGTTGAAAAATTCCTGAAATGAATACGGTTACTCGTTTAGTCTTGATCCCTGAAGATGAATTCCTTCGACTCAAAGAGCCAATGTGACTGATAGGATAATTCACTCAAATTTGCCTGATACAATGAAAATTGCATTATCAAATGAAATCAATCATCTGAAAGCAGAACCACAAAACAAAATCTGCAAGGTAGCCTAGGAAACGTGATTACAGAAAAAACGGCCGTTGAAATTCCAAACAATATACTCGACCATATGGAAGTACGTGAAGAGGTAAAGCTACTGCACTCAAACCTTTTTTGATATTTTCAAGATAGTCTTTTGCATGCTCAACTCGTTCTCGCAATTATTGGCCAGCAACACTATAAATATATAACTAAATGTATCAGCGTATTGACCTAATATACATTATAAAAGTAAATTAACTTACATTTTTGATGGTTTTCGGGCAAAACTCGGTCACTCAGAACATTCATTTAGTTGATGTTGCTGTTGGAATTGATGATCCGGTTGCAATAGATGTTGCAGTTGGTATCTCATTACTGGGCAACAAGTGAGACAACAATTATTACAACAGCGAGGTGGTACAAATGATGGTGGCACTGTTTTGACTGATCCCGATTGAACATTAGTAGTAGGTATGATATACAGGCTGAAAGGAGAGGAGCCTCTTTCAGCCCGCATAACACGTGACTTTTTAGGGGGAAGAGAAAGGGGAAATAAGAGAAACAAAAAGAAGGAGAGGAGCGAAAGAAGGTAAAAGAGGGAATGAAGGGAAAACTTATTTTCGCGCGTTTTATTGCTCTGAGGGTCAAAGTTGAAGTCGCTAAACTTTTTCAAACAAAAGAGTTAACTTAACCATTGATGATCAGAGCAATAAAACAATGAAGGAGGTTAAGAAAGGAAAGAAAAGACAAAGGTAAAGATGAAGATGGGTAAGAAAGGGAAAGGAAAGACAAAGGGCAAAAATGAAGAAGGTTAAGAAAGGCCAACAAAAAAGACAAAGGTAAATATGAAGAAGGCAAAGGTGAAGAAAATGAGAAAAAGAAAAAAAAGAAAGAAGCTAAAGATAAAATAAAGCAGACAAAGAAAAAAGTTACCAAGTAAAACAAATGGAGATGAAGAAAGAGAAGGAAAAGATGAAAAGATGAAAAGAAGACAAAAATTCTATTCTTGTTTTATAATTATTTTGTTTTCATAAACTTAAAGCGAAAATTGTAAAGCTTTTTGACTACACATTAATTTTATTGTCGCAAAAAGTTGTTTGTCAAAAGTTTTACAATTTTATTTTTAAGTTTGAAAAAAATAAACGGTGAGAAAAAGGAAAAGGATGAATGAACAAAAGCGCATGTGTACCTAGAAGGGATAAGAATGCACGATTTTGATCAAAAACTTTAAGAATGCACTTTAGTATTATTGCTTTATTTATGCTTTATTCAAAAAGATTCAAAGTTGAAGCGAAACTCAATAAAGCGAAAAAAGTTAAAATGCAAAAAATCGACTAACAAGGGAAGTCCACCAACTGTTAAATGAGTTCGAACTTTTTACTATGATTTTTTAAAGGTATATTAATGTTAAGAAAAAGTGAAATTTTTTACGTCCCCGTTTTCACTCTTTTTTTTTATAGAGGGCTCTGAAGTTTACAAGCTTATTTCGCTATTTTGCAATTTAGAAACAAGCCCTGCATTTTGGGAGAGTTAAAACCAACGCCCTTCACTTCCATTTCCTTTATTCCATGCTTCAATAGTGCCTTATACTTAATTTGCGTTTAGTATTTTTATTTTGTTCTTATTTTTTGATATAATGAAAATTAACAGTAAAAAATTTATTGATTCTCTTGCAATTTTATCAAGAGGTGGTGAAGTTGATTGCAACATTGCTGAATTGAATTTCGCCAAACAATTACACGAGATGATTTGGGATGCCCAGTTCAATAGAAATATTTCTTTCGAAACAGAGAGTGAGAATATTTTTATCGAGACAGAAGAAGATGAGAGTTTTGTTTTAACTATGGAACCCGTTGAATTTGGAAATGAAACTTTCAGCTTTGACTACATGGAGAAGGTTGTGAATTTTTACCACACTGAAAATCAACATTCAAAAGGATGCAACATTTTTTCTCAAGAGTCAGGTATCAAAATTATGTTCATCGCTTCATTGAGTATGTAGCACAAGGTGGAACCAAAAGAGAGAAGTTGGAAGCAATTTGTCAACACACCTTTGAACGTCTAAAAAATGCAAAAGATATTGGTTTACAGATCTATGACACTGACATTAAAAGTTGGGCTATTGCTAAAGCTGTTGAGTTGAATCTGCCAAACTTTAAAGCTTCTCATTCTTGGATTCAGCAATTCAAACAGAAAAACATGATCACATCAAGGAGAGTTACCAAGTTTGTCACCAAACAGGCGATCAAGGATATTGCAGCTATAGAACGTGAAGCAACTGCTACGATAGTTCAATTGGAAGAGGCGATGGATAGTGAAGATATTGAATCTCAACACGTATTCAACATTGATGAATCCGGAATTAACTACGAGCTTCACTCTGCCAGAACCCTCTCATTCAGAGGCGAAAAAAATACAACTGCAATCGTCCAAAGTATGAATGCAAGAACACATTCATATACAATTTTACCAATCTTGGTAATGGATGGTCAAATGCATAAAAAGGCAATGTTGTGCTTACGTGAGCCGTCAGGTAGTTTTGAACCGAATGTTCAGCAAAATTTACCAAGACCTGATAATCTGTACATTGTGTGCTCAAAATCAGGGTTGGA